TTATTTAAATCGTTAAGCAGACACACACAAAATCCCAACTCCAATCCCAATGCACAAATGCCACCAACAGGTCTGGCGCCAGGAAGCCAGGCACCGAGTTGTGTCGAGCCGAGCTCCTCCTTGTCATAATTTAAATCGCGGCCACGCGTAAGCCCAGGCAAAAATATGGAAAACTATGCCCGGGCAATTTGTGGCCGCTTTGCCTGCCAGCCATAATTTTCCCGGGAAAACGCATGAAAATAAGCATTAGACAAAAAGGGGTTTCATCCATTTTAACGATTATGCAATGTGCCTGCTCCGTTGCTCTGTTGCTCCGTTGCCCCTGCCACTGCCAATGCTCCCTCCAACGCATATCAAATCGGCTTTTTACCTGTTGATGTTATGGAGCAGAGAGGGGAACCTGGGGCTGCCGGAAGGTTGCGACAATGTTATACGCTAATTGAGCACAAACACATTTTTGCCCTCAGCGCGTTTATCGGTTTTATGGAAATGTTATTACACCGAGCAACAAAGTTGGGCTGCACATGAATACGAATTGTACTTAATACAGAAAAGTCGCCATACAATGAATGAATAATGTCAAGAAGTCTGTTCAGTAGGGAAAGTTAATAATAATAATTTGCTCAGAAACAAATTTGACACAACTTGCTTAAGGCAAGGAAACTGACTACGGTTCCAGATGGATGAATATAATCAAATATAAAATAAATTAATAAAATCAAAGTAAAAATCGTAAACTAATATGCCTTACGCATAATAAAATAGCTACTTTAAATGAATTCCAACAATTGCATATGTCTTTAAAATTTAATGGCATGTTTTTATGTCTCTAAAAACCGTGTAGCATAGTGAATTGCTCCAGTACACTGTATATACATTGTTTCTTGGCACACGTGCCGCTGCTACGAATATAAAATGACAAACTTGTTAAATATTCTTTATACCAACTAGTTTAGCTCCTCACATTTTCACCGCCTTATGACAGTTTTATAGGGCTTCGCTTTTTGCCCCTCTCGCCATGCTAGTTTTGTTTAAATGCCAGCAACAAAAAATTATAATTATGCATAATTTAATTTTATTATAATATGCATTTTCCAAATACCATTTTCCACTCTCAAAATTCTTGGAAGGTGCTCCGCACGACCAAGCGGAAGCCGCTGGCGACAGACGTCCCAATCCCCAAACTCTGCAGACTGCATCTGTGTGTTGTGCGTGTGTAAGTGTGTGTGTGTGTGTGTGTGTTTGTGTGTATGGTTGTCATTTTACAAAAATTTATGCATTCTTCTTTTTTAGTGGTAATTTGATTTTGATTTGGGAATTTTAATTAATAATCATGTTTTGGGCGCCGCGTCGCATTGCATTCTTGATGAAATATTGTTATGAGTGGAGGCGGAGTTCGAGCTGAAGCTGTACACAGAGCTGGAGCGAGGGGCAGCGGGACAGCGGGGCAGCACGAAATGGACATTGAATATAAAATCCGAATCAGCCCACAAACAAATATTCCACATAATAATTTTATGGTATTTAAAATATCTAATTGGCCAGAAAGAACCACAATTTTTATGTCTGTTCGAAAAGCTTTTTCGAATATTTGCGTTTGCGTGAAGGGGGTGTGGCTGAGATCCCTCAGGTGTGGCCTGTGATGAGGCCCCGAGTATTGTTAATGACCTGTGTGATGATGTGGGTTATATGGAGCCTATAATTGACAAGTAACTGTTTAGATTTTTATTGACAAAATGTGGCAACCACTATAATAAAAATGTTGCTCAATAATTATCAGCTATAAAATGAACTATTCACCTCATTTATTCTCGACAATTAAAATCTGGTTAATAATGGAATTATTGTTCAACCTACTGAAAGGCTATAAAATATTAATTCGATAGAGAAACTAAAAATAAATATGACTATTTCTAATTAATATGTTCTGAAATGTTCTTTATTTTACTCTGGTCAGATATTCCAGAAAACTCCGAAAAGAAAACGGAACTCACGTCTTGTGTTACAGTAACTTCATCTGCAGACATGAAAAACTCAATTAGGGGCACACATAAAGAAAAAAATAAGACAGAAGCCTGGCTACTGCAGGAATTTTGCAAAGAGAAAAGATCAATTTTCTGCGAAGGGACACACTTTAACAGGATAAGATGTATTTAAGCAAATGAACACACAAAGAAGCAGCAAAGTAACAAAGTGTAGCAGAATTTAGCAAAAAGGAGCAGCAAATGCATTCAGCACATGTCGGCGGCACATTGAAGTAGGCCAAACAAAAGCCGAGCGAGCACTTGGCCAACGGCAAATCGTCAACTGGCCAAATGAACCACAAAAGGCAAGCGGCCAACGGCAAGCGGCAGCTGGCGAAAAGAAACAAAAAAGAGATGCTTGGCAAGAGATTAATAAAAGTGATGGGCTCAAATGAGCAACGAAGCAGGCTGCGATTAATGCAAGGCGGAAGACGGAAGATGGAGGGCGGAAGGAGCGTCTTACGCATCTCGTTCAACTAGCCTGATGAAATTTTAAGCCCATTTAGCGAATAATATCAAATCGATGGGATTTCTGGTTTGTATTCAAAAGCGTTGCGAATGCAATAAATGTGCAGCACAGCTGCAAACCAAAATGTATATCCTGTTGTGAGAAGTCCTGGCTGCCGCCTGCCGCCTGCTGTCAGTGTCAACTTTTTGGCAAAAGTATTTTATAGTCAGCAATTTCAGGGCAGGCACAAAATGTTCACAGCACCGTTTTTCGCTTTGCTAGTCGCCGACTGTTGACATTTTCAGCTGTCCTGCGAAACACCACCCGCTGCCCAGCGATGTCCTGGTGCTAATATGTTAAGCAGCAGGTTGTCTAAAAGTCATGCTGCTTAGTGAGCTGTCATCAGAGTGCTCTGAGTTTTGTTTTACAATTTTTCACTTCTACAACGCTTTAGCCAGAAAAAATCGACATGCGGCGGCATCAAACACAACTCTGAGAAAGCCTCTGAGCAGTGATCCTTAAGTTCTGCATCTACATCGTTAAAACGCAAACACTTGACCCATATATCCAACGATATCAACACCAATCTAAATTCCCTGCCTTCCAATCGAATTGCGCAGCCTGTAATTGATACTTTGACGGGATCAGTTGAGGATCGTTCACTATGGACAGACGATTTTATGCTACATTGAATACTATAAAAAGCGAAACCCGAACTCAAATAAAAGCATTAGATAATAGCCATCTGCCACGACCCTCAACAGATGTGGGCCCAATCAATTGAGTTTGCTTGTGGTTTCGATATCAAGAATCTTTTTTGAATAAAGGATCTTGCAGACATTTGCTTACTAAGAAAAATACTTGGGAAATATGTAGATTTAGAACAACAAACAGAGAATGGATATTTTAGGAACGTCGAAATTATTTACGATTATTTACCCTAGCACTATATTTCAGTATATATTAAAATAACAAAAAAAAGGCTATATGATATTGTAGTCCAATTTTAATATTTAAAAAAAAGGCGGGAATAATATTAGACTGGAAATTTTGGTAAGCACTAAGTTTAATCACACAAGAACTTATGTTTCAACTGATCTTTCCCATGCCAGCTATATGAAATCGTGAAATTGAACAAAAATCACAAATTAAATTTCCAAGATTATTGTTAGCCCACAATGTGATGTAATTTCAAGGGCGTTGTCTCTTGTCGTCGAGCAAATCTGAAATATAAAATTTATCGAATTGGCATTTGCTGAAGCAAGTACACAATACTTAAATTAGGTGGCATTATTGAGAGTTTAACAATTATTTTTTATCGTTACCTCATCTTTATTTAAACATTTAAGCTTGTCTTTCCATTTTGATGCAATCATAATAAAGCTACTTTTGCCGCATATTAAAAAGAAAGTAATTTGTTTTGAATTTTTAAACCTCAAAAATAGTTTGCAACTATGGACAAATTTATTCTCTATTTTCCTACGGCTCCTCGAAAGTATGCAATGTTGCAGTTGTTTGATTTGAAGTTGTAATAGTTTCCTGATCTGCCTAAAGATATGCTGTATTTAGCATAGATGACAGAGTTGCATCCTTTAACCTGGCTTTTAGTTCAATCTAAAAACAAGGCTTATATAAATTAAAAAAATGTTTACAAAAATCAAACTGTCAAAAAAAGAACAGACGAATTGACTACTACAAAATTAAAATACCTCCCGCATGTCTAAAACAAAAGAAGAGCACCTTACAAGAAGGATACAAGATTGGCTAAAATATGGCATGGAATGTGTGTAGAGATGTTAAATTGTCTAGCAAAGACCAATAGGGTAACTGTCTATTGACTCCTGTGGACTGCGACCAGGCCATGTCAATCATATCATATGACTAGAAACGAGGGAGAGCAAGAGAATATAATTAATAGAAAGCAATGACAAGAAACCAACTGATGATTGTTAAAACATGAATAAAAACTTTCATTGACTTTATGACGGTAAACTGCAAGTTTTGCAAATACAACCCAAATGCAGAGACTGCAAAAACCCTTCTGGTGGATTGTCCGGCAATTAACGAACTGAGACTGCCCAAGCTAGGGGCCTACACTTACAGAAATGAGAACTGTAATTAGATTCTTGCACATAATACTGGACTGGAAAATGGGCATTTATCACAAAGAGACGTAGTGGATGCTAGTCGTCGCAGACTTAATCAATAATAGTAATTAACATATAAAGGAACAAATGCATTATGATTCATGTTGTCTGGGGAAATTTAAATCGTACATTTTCTATACTTTTTTAATTTACTTTTCAACACCTTGAGAACTTGAAACATTGAGGTCATTCGAAGTCAAGCTAATTTTATGACATCAATTTTATATTAAAATAATTGGCACAAATTTAAAATACAATTTTTTATTTGCACAGTTGTTGCAAATCAAATAGTTTTTTATTTGTGCGCAAAAAAAAACACTTGCCAATATTTTACTATAAAAGGAGCAGCGAATACTTCAGTCAGCATCGAAATCTATTAACAAGCACGTCAAACAATATGCTATCGAACAAGTTTCTGATTATGAGCTTTGGTAAGTAAATTTTAAATAAAGTAATTTTAAGGAGCCGAAACCATATTTGAATGTCAATTCTCAAATTGTAGCTCTCTTTGCTGTGATCATTGTGGTGTCTGCCGAGGGTAGCGAAGAACAAATAAGCGATCGCCGATTCCGTTGGCCAGGCTCCGATGAGCAGGAGGCGGAGGACCCAAATGAGGACAATGACAATGCGGAGGAAGAGGACGATAGTGCGGACGATAAGCCAACAGAAGATGATAACGACGACGACAATGAAGATGATTCTAAAGAATCCGACAATGAATCCAAACAGGAGAACGAGTAGATAATTCTCCATTTTAAAGTTTTAAATATTTTTCCGTTAAATGTTATGTACAATTTATAATTTTGCCTGAAAAAATAGTATAAAAATACTTTTAAAGTATTTATGAATTTTGTAACAACAACAAGTACCAATAAACATTTTAAAAAAACAGGAGAAAAATTGACTGTATGTATAATTAATTTTATTTAACATAATTTAAAGTATGTATAATTGAATTTTAATATGGTTTACATACATTTAATTATTTATATCGATATTTATTTGTATTATGCATTTAAATATATTTTATGTATATTTAAACTATGACTAAATATAAATTTCACACAATTATGCCATCGCTCAATAATTTAATTTAATTATGGTCAGTAATATTTGTATTTTCACTAAATTTTAAATAAGTATTTTGCGTTAGCTTTGAAACCAAAATTGGAATTGGAATGATACACAGGCAATAAACAGAAATATTTTAAACAGAAAATACCAGAATACAAAAATTTAACACAAATACTATTTTCAATTACTATGCGTTTTATTTGAAGAGGTTCCTTGAGGTTTCCATCAGCAGCTCACTTTTATAAACATTGTATTCAACTCTACACCGAGAGAGATCCTTTTCATGCGTGGCGATCCGGTTGGAAGTCTATCGCCAACAGTAAATTGCACACGTTAATTAGATAATTGCCTGTTGCTGTTCTTTGATAGTAGTTGTTTTTTGCAGTTTGCCCATAATGCTTTGCGTTTTGAGTCTTGTTTTCTCACCGCACACCCCACCAGCCACGATCCCAGTGCTCCACGACCCGAAGTCATCACACATTGCTGTCCGTGCCGACGGCGCCGGTGAAGGAGAAAGGCTGCGCATTATTTACAATGCCTGCCCGATCGTTAGTCGTAGATGTCGTTGCATTTCCGCCGTATCCCGATTGCTGGGCAGCGGCTCGCATATCCGTAGCGGAGGCTCTGAGACGAGTTAAGAAATCGACAATTTAGATAGATGTACAAAAACTTGCATGTATAAAACATAAATACTAATGGCAAACAGGCCAAATAAATAGAGACGCTAATTGGATTGTGTGTTGAACTGAGGGCTCGTGCATTGCATTAAAATCGCTTACGTATGCTATTAGGATAGTTATAGTCATGATAACTTATGTGTTATCAATTCATTTAAATAAAAACTTAATTATAAGTGAAATCGCAAAATACATAGCAGCAAATAAAACAAAATACAATCATGCTACGAAAATGTTCAACAACATTAGCCAAAAATAAACATATTTTAACAACTTAGAAATCTACATCTTGAAATAATATTCACATTTCGTTTTTTTTCGCAATTTTTTGTTCACAATCAAATGCCCAAATCTTTAGTTACAATAATACATAATTGTCAATTGTACATTTCAAAATTATATGTTGAGTAGAAAGGGAAAAGCAAGCAAAATGTGTCTTATGTTCATATAATAAAGCTAAGATGTACGTTCGATTTAAATAATGTAGAAAATAGGAAACAAATTGAGCTTATAGGAACCGTGCCCGATTATTCGAATCGATAACTACAAACTACGGCGCAAATCCAAACAGATCGAATAACAAAATATGTACATATTTTCAAGAGCGACACAGTGCAATTGAAAGGAATAACAAAGTCCAAAATTAAAGTGACTAGGGAATTGACTAAACTACATTCGAACTACTTAGTTGAGTTGCCTTGACGTTAACATACTTCTTGCTGCTGTTGTTGTTGTTGTGGTAGTTCTTTTAGTTGGTTTGCTGCAGGCTGCAAATTGGCATTAACTGGTCTGTTCTGGGGCAGTTTGACATGTACAATTGTTTTGCATAGTATACATACACATATATAATTGCAGTTTCAGTTAAGACATAATATTTTACTTGAATCATTTTTAGTGTTGCGTTCGTAAAACATATTCAATTTATTTGCTAATTTTAACTAGCTGATAGGTATTTTAAGCTAGGACTCTGCTCAGGCTGATTGCGAGAAAATGTTTTGTTACAAGTAATCATTGAGTATGTTTATTTTGGGAAAGCCACATTGGATGCCAATATGGATCCATTAGGATGTTTTTTTTTTCATATATAAATATATATATATATATATATATATATATATATATTTGGTAATGTTCGCGAGTATTATTATTTGTGTGAGTTACTAGTTATGCTTAGCAAACGATTATTAATTATAAACAATTAATGTCTAAGTATAAGCATAACAGACTAAATAAGAAATATAAGGGAATGTTATTTGTAATAAGTATGGAAATACTGAAGTAAAAATAAGTAATAATAAATTAATCTTTGATAACAATTTGGAAAAAATACTAAACAATTAATAAATAATCAATTATATATCAATTTCACGACAGGCATAAATCTTTTCAAATTAATCACATATTTTTCTTAGTGAAAAACTTCGAAAGCTGAATAAAGAAGCACATAAATCCCCTTAATCTTTTCTATTAATTTGCAGTATTTTACATTTAATTATCGTTTGCAACCTTTGTTTAATAAATTATGAACAATTCTGGTATTTTGTGGTATATATGATATTTTGTTACTATATCTTGCGACAAAAAGAAACAAAACAAAAGCTTTTGCTTATCTCAATCAACATTTAACATTTCAAATAGTTTTTTGATTCTTTTTGTTTTTGTTTTTTTTCTTTGTGTCTGAGTTGTACATATTGCTCTACGATTCTTGAATTGATTTCCTTATGTTGCAGGTAATTTGTGTACTTTGCCGTGTGGAAGCTGTCGCTTGTTAGTTTTTATCTTAGCCATTTGTAGCTAGCGTGTTTTGTTATTCATATATATTTTCTCACTAAAAATAAATTGTATATAATATATATATATTTAAATATATATTTATATGTATATGTACTTTTCAAAAACACCTCGTTCTACAACGGACATTTAGTAATGCGGAAATGCAACTACATGCAAAGGACGACAAATGACCAAAAATAGTGAAAATGCATTTGCGCAACAATTTGTCAACATTATTTTGTTTAGTAACAATTATGAAAAGTTTCTTTGTTTATCAATTGGTGGGGTGTTTTTTTCTGTAATTCTGCTATTCTGTTTTCTGGCTACTCTTAATGATCTCTGCGCGGCCCTACAAGTTTTTTTCTTTCATTATTATTTATATTACTTTCAATTGGAACGAACACTAAAAACTATGCGCCGTAAAATATTTGTTACTCAATATTTCATGATGATATTTTTCCTTTTCTAATTGTTAATGTTTAAGTGTGTGTGTGTGTGTGTATCTGTGTGTGAAGGAGGTGTCGTGTTTTATGCTGTTTTTTGGCAGTTTATGCTTTTGCTTAGCACATTTATGTTGGACGCCAAACATCGGGATCTTCCATGAGCGTAATATGTTGGTCTCCGCCCATTTGCATTTGGCCACCCGCCTGGCCGCCAGCCATTTGTGTGGGCGATGTGGCCGCAGCGGCCATGTCCTCACGTGAAGCTCTAATGTGGTTTTTTTTTTGTTTTTTGTTTGTTATTTTTATTGATTATTGGGTTAGATAACATTGGTTATAGTGGTGGTTGTTGTTGTTGCCGATGTTTATTTTTTGTTCAAGTTGAATAACATTATTTTTAATTGTAAGCGTAATCACAGCGCAAGCAGTTCAAGGAATAGAGAGAACATTGTTTCGATTAGCATTTTGTGCCTTCAGTATTTGATTCTCCGCTCCGCAAACAGACTAAGAGTTAACTAGCAATATCTAACTGGATATATATGAGCCAAAGGCCACAACTTCCAGTCAATACTCACTTTTTGCCTAACGCCATCATGCCGTAGACTGCGCCGGTGGCAAAGATCAAACCACTGCCAAAGAGACTCGCCAGGCCGAAGCACATAAAAATGGGCGGCACCGCCATGCTAAAAGAGGAAAACCACATAGAATTAGAATGATTCTTGTTTTTTTGTTGTATTTTTTTTTGGATACTGTATTTAATTTTTGGCACTCACGCGCAGTAGAGACCCGCTCGGAAATACATCGGCTTGGCATCCACCTTATCGGCCACTGAGCCGACCTGTTCGATACACACAAAGCAACAAGGTGCCTCCAGGGCCATCACCACAAATCCAGCTAACATCTGTATTATGCCCGCGACGAGGCATGAGACGCTCAAGCCAATGATTGATAGAACATTCCACAGGCCAAAGAGTATGGCAACTGAAAAGGATACAGAATTAGTAAAGGCTCCAACAAGAATTCAGTTATGAGAATTTTAATCTGAATCTAAATGCAGATTTTAACAAGCATGTTACCTGGTAAAGATAAGTAAGAAATTGCTAAGTAGAAGATAGTTAAACAAAAAGCGTTTCATATCTGCGTAAATAAAGGGCGTTTCGTAAACAAAAGCATTAACTTTATCTAGCTGATGATGGTTTAGTTCGGCTCTAACCGAAATTTAATTTATTGCATCAACCTACGCCTCCAAATTTTGACCCCATTATCACTTTCGCTACAAATAATATGTATAAAAAAAAAAAAAAAAATATATATATATATATATATATAGCTGATTATGGTTTAGTTCGGCTCTAACCGAAATTAATTTTTTATTGCATCAACCTACACCTCCAAACTTTAGCTCCATTATCACTTTCGCTACAAATAATATATATAAAAAAAATAAATTTAAAAATATATATATACATATATATATATATATATGTATATCGTTAGAGCATTTCAAGCGTAATCTAATCAAGAAACCTGACTCATCCAACTGCTAAATTAACGACAAGGTTTCATTCTTTTATTATAAATAAAACACATAAAATGAAAATAAAGCGCCACATACACGCAGACAGAGGAAGAGAGAGATAGAGAGAGAGAGAGATATAGAGAAAGGCAGAGAAAGATAGAGACAGAGATAGAGACAGAGAGAGAGCACAGAAGCGTGACAAAAATGCAAACAACAAAACAGTTGTTGAAATTGGAACATTTCTTGGTTTGGAAACTGGTAAATGAAGGCTGAATAGACAGATGCTGTGAGGGCTCCATAAACTGATGCTAAATATAGAAACGAAACTACAAACGAATGCATTAAGTGTGAGAGTGTACAGAATTTAAATAAAGATAACTAAACTGAATTCCAAGGCATTTACTTTCGAACAATATAATTATCTAAGAGGCTCGTGATAAGAGTCTGTGGAGCAGGTAAACAGATGTTTAAATGTGTGAATTGAGCCAAGCCAGTCTCAGCTGAATAAATAAATGGTTGCTAGTTAAGCCTAAAAAGAGTGCTGATGAAATTGGCACAGAACTAAATAGACAACCAGTATTTTTTCTGTAAGCTGATCTCAATTCTGAGGTCAGTGCGGTACAGACTTGAATGAACTCTCAGCTACAATAACGTTAGCGTAGCAACAATAAACAAAAGTTGTAAGTATTAATTAAAAGGCGCTGTTTTTTTTTTTTTTTGTTTCTTTTTTTATGAAACCGGTTCATGGAAGCCGCACGAATGAATTTTCATTTATTAAAATAACTGTACGAGTTAATCATCAGTCACATTTATGGCTTGCTGGTTGCTCAACATAAAATAAATGAGCAAATATATTTATTTACTAAATAAAGTATTTCATTAGTTAATTTTCAAACGAATTTAAACAGCTCCCTTTCAGCCAGCTAAACATAAACCAATTAAAGCTAAGCTCTCTTTCGGTTCGACTAATAGTTTTTGCAGGCAACTTGTGTCATTGAACCTCAGAGTGCTTCACAGGCAGACGTAAAAAGGGAACTTCATACATACATATAAACATTTGTGTATATTTGCATTCGTATTGGAAAAGTCGCGTGGAATTGTGGAAGGGAAAGCCATCAAATGGCGAGGAGTTCAATGTCATCGCAAGCAACTGCGGAAACGAAGAACAATAGATATTAATGTCTGTCTGCGTGTTTATTACGCAAAACAACAAACGACGCAAGAGAGTGAGAGACCCAAAGAGAGCGTGTAAACTTTACTGATAAAAATAAGAAGAAGAAAGCAATAATTTGATTGCAATTAATTGACTCAAAATGACTCTCTGAAGAACATTTTGATAGGAAAATGCACTTCAAACGACCTGAAATATTGACATAGAAAGCGATAAAAAAAAAATACGGGCACACACAAAAACACACACTGAGGCAAATATTTCTGTATCCTTTATGGCATATTTCTCTGCTGTTGTTGTTGCTTTTGCTGTTGCCTTTATCAATGTCAGGCCAAAGAGTCAGAGCGAGAGAGCGTGCGTGCCGTGAGTATTGTGGGTGGGTTAGACTCACTCACACGCATACAACTAGTGGGAGGAGGAGTAGAAGGAAGGAAATAGAATAGAGATAAGCAGTGTAACAATGAAATTTACATGCATAACATAAGAATGAAAATCGATGCAAATGTTTTCGTTCTGTGGTTGTTGTTGTTGCTGTTATTACTTACAGAATGCGGCAACGATGCCCAGCACACGACTGCCATATTTGAGATACCAGGGCGCTTCGGGGCCACCAGCTGGATCCTGATTCGGACGCGCCAGCAGTCCCGTTATCTTTTCCGCAAACGACTGCACATTAAAAATCAATTATATTATTTAATCATCAAATAGTTATTTATTGGAAAATCGAACTGCGTTTGCAACAAAATATCTGTCATGCAATTTGTGACACGGCTGCTTTTAAAACATACACGCAGTCACACACATACATGGAGTACACATTCACAAAATTCACGTCACCAAAAACTTCTACCGCGTTTAGTTAGTCCAAACAATTTTCTGCATTGCAGTTCATTTTGCAGCTTTGACACAGTTCTACGTACCATTTTGTTAAGCAAACTATTTAAAATTAAGCTAATTTTTTATAGCCCAAATCTAACAATTCTATGCACTTTACACCGACGAAAAAAAACGCAGAACAGAAAGAAGTGCAGAATAATACCGATAACACGGGCCAATCGATTTTTTTTGACATTGGCGCTGCCAGATTGTTTCAATTAACAGAATTGCGAATGCTGTTAACAGAATTTCCTGCCGTTTCAAATTATTATGTTCTTTAAATCCCGAAGTTGAGAAACTATTATTGTCTTAATTATAAAAATAATAGAAATAACAATAATTAAATTTTATCAGCCGTGGAGTTATTGTTTGAGTTTGATTGTTAGCATACACTTAACATGAGCTACTGAAGCAATTGTTTAGATTGTTCCAAATCCAGATCAGTCGTCAAGACTATCCAAGTCGATAAGAATAAAAGAATTAAAATTGAAAGTAATGAATTCGGACATTGAATTAAATTACGTGGAGATGAACAAGATAAAGGTAGAAGCAATGCTGATGCAGGTTACGAAGCAAACTCGATGTGCAATTAATATTTATATTAATTATGATGTATTTTTATAAGCTGCCATCAAGCAAAGATAACTTTGCCATCAGCCACTCAAGCCGGCAAGAATGTAAGCTAAAGTAAAAAAATAGGGAAAAGTTTTTCAATACATTTACTATTTTCTCAGATATTATTGACCGTAAATATGTCATTAGTTCCCAACTGAGAAGGTGATCAGGATTCGTAGCACAGATTTGATCCAGTTATACTTTTGTGTAACTATAATAATCGTAAATTTTATAGATAATAAATAAAACAAGGTTTTTTTTGCGGGTTTCGGGAGTTGAAAATAAAATTGTAAATACAGTTTTTATTGCCTGAATTATTTTTTGAAAATATTGCCATTTTTGGTTGCACATAAAAAAGGGGAAGGGGCGAGAGTTGTACGTGTAATTTGTATCGTTGTTCTAATTGATTGATTGAAATGGGCGTTAAATTTACATATTCTGGTTCGGCTTCCGCTTAAAGTCGACAAATTGCAATTTTTGATATATATTTTTGTTGGACGTTTTACAGTTGAAAACTATTCAAATGCCATGCACAGGGTTCTCAATTTCAGTTTCGTTTCATACTTGAGCAGTAAGTTCAAAAATATATTTAAGATTTAAGTCTACGGCAAGTGTAGAGTTTTAAGGGTGGCAATTGTTTTTGCACGATTCTCAATTGTTGAACTGAATTGTTGTTTGACTCTATACTACGAGTATTGTCGAATGATTATTGAAATCGTGCGCCCAAGTATATTTTCGATTGTTTTTCTTAAAGATTAACTTAAATGTTGTCGGTTGGTTGTGTTGGGGTTTGTTTTGTTTTTTTCTCTTTTTTCTCGGGGTTATGTGTTCGTCCAGCAGCCCGTTACTAAAGTTAATTATTTGCTATGTCTATTGATTTGTGAAACATAAACTATTTGTAAATTATTGGTAGTTATACTCGCAGTATTGTAAAAAGCATTCGCTTTTCGTGTTGCACATTACAGAACAAACATAAAATGATCCTCTTTCTATTGTACTTGATGTTTTTGTTGCGTATTCATAAAAAGTTGTTCATACAATTCTTGATTTGATATATATTTTTTTGGTTTTAAACATTAGTTGGAAATTTACTTTTTTTACTAAAAACAAATTTGGATTCAATTTAACAATGTTATTGTTGCTATTGTTTATAATTTGATATTCATTGCAATTTATTGAGGTTGTTGATTTTGAAAAGTTTCTTGTTGTTATCTTTTCAGTTTCTTTGCTGGCGCAAACAAATGCACAGTGAAATTTCGAAAATAGAACATTTAAAATAATAATCGAAAAAAAAGGAAGATTGAATTATTGTTGTCAATTTCATTGCACATTTGTCTGACGCTTTGAACACTTGCGTTCAAAATGTTTAAATCATAGAGAAAATCATACAAAATGATGAAATTTGGAAAAGTTAAAAGAAATTCAAGATTTCTTGTACAAAATACAAAATTAATATGGCTTTTCAAAAAGCTTTAAAAGTCAATTATAAAAAATGTAGTGAAAATGTTAGAAAAATGTTTTGAAGAACAGTTTTAAAGGCCAGCTTATGGGCAGCATTGTGTTTACAATTTTACACAGTTTGAGTTGTCAGCATTAAATTTTTAAACTAATTTGTTTTCAGTTCGTTAAACTTATCCAGAGGATGTCACAAAGTTGTTGCCATGGATATTGCCTGCTGATATTGTCTCGGCTGGCCTCACTCTCTTCTTTCTCTCTAATTGTAGTTTTAGGTGGGTTTCTGTGTGTGTGTTAATGGTCAAGTTAAGACGATTGTAGCATCATTTGATTTATATTAAAATTTATTATAAAACAATTGTTCGGTTCGTATGGATGTGTGTGTGTGTGTGTGTGTAGGTGTGTGTGTTCTTGTGTATGCGTATGTAATAGTAGTTGTAGTAATCGTAGTAGCTAGCCGTTTTGTTAAGATCACAATTGTGCTAAGAAATACTATATCACAATTAATTATTTACACTCGTTATTATTTGTATTTTTTGCTCTTCGCATTACATCTTAGGTGGTGGTGGTGGGGCGGGGTCGGCAAAACGACCCAGAAAGTCATGCAAATAACATTTTGCACTTTAGTTGTTTGCCTCTTTGTCACATTTGTTTTTGTTTTTGTTGTTGCTGTTGTTTGTTGTATAAAATGCTCATTGCGCTTAATTAAGAAAAGTATAGAAAACAAAATCTTAAGCAGAATTTTGGGCATTTAAAGCTATGCTTTCTTTTCTTTATCTTTTTCATTTTCTTCTCTTTTCTATATTATGTGTTCACTTCTATTCTCAAATCTCTTCTCGTCATACACTTTTCACTTTACTCTTAAAAAATACACGCACACGGCTTGGCTGGAACTCTTATTAGAAGGATATTTGTTTCGCTCACTTTATCGCTTACAAGAAATAAAAACAATATAATAAAAATAATTATTAATATAATCGTGTCATATTGTACATAAAAAGTGTTTTTGTTTTTTTTTTTTTGCATTATAATTGCACAACTTTACCTTGCTAGCTTTCTTTTATGTATATAAAAATTTTGCCTGGCAATTTTTTTTTTACAAAATGACGTGTGCTGGAGCGGAAGACTCACGTTTTCATTTATCTTAAGATTTTTTTGCGTTTTTGGTATGAAAATGTTTTTTTTTTTTTGTTACGTTAATTACAAAATGTTTTGTACAATCTTGCCGTCTATATACAATTGAATGTCGAAAATGTACTTGTTGAAAAATGCATGTGCCCAAAAGTCGATGAAATCATCTTTCTCTTTCTGAAAGATCCATGAGAAACACCTAAAACTTAATGTGTGTAACGCTATTGCTGCCTATAAGCTGGCCCTGCGACTTAAAAATGCATAGTGTGAAAAATTACAGTAGTAGAAAAGAAGGGGGGAAAAGTCAAAACAGTTGACTTAGCAAAAGACGTTTGCTATAAAATTTTTGGTGAATGAGAAATTCGTCCACGAATTAAAACTGGGCGTAAAATTAAGAGGCCCTTGCTGCTGCAGATGCTGATGTTGTTGTAGTTGCTGCTGCTGATGCTGCTGCATCTGATGTTGCATCTGCATCTGCTGCTGATGATTATGATAATGATGTTGAGGCAGCGGCTGTTGCGATTGCGCGCGCTGTAAAATGCGCAAATTGGTGCCGGATGCCATGCGCTGCAGCTTGTGCAAGGTTTGCGCATCTGGTGTTGTGCTGCTGCTGTTGCTGCTAGATGCTCCTGCAAAACTGGATGCTGGCGAATTGAGCGATACCGAAGCGGGACGTGGACGCTGTTGTTGTTGTTGCAGTTGCTCCGGTTGTTTTGGTGTATTTTGCGCTGCGGCTGCTGCAGTCAACATGGCCAGCAAATTCATGCCAGTTGTTGGCGTTGTTTGTTGCCGCTGCTGTTGTTGCTGCTGCTGCTGCTGCTGCAACTGTTGTTGTTGTTGTATATACTTTTTGTTCAAAATGCTTTTGACTACCAGCTGTTGTTGCTGCTGCTGTTGATTGCTTTGCTTATCACTTTGTGATTTGGGGCGAGTGCGTTGCGGCTGCTGTTGCTTTTGAGCCTTGGCAGTCTTCAGTTGCTGCTGCTTTTCCTTGCGTATCAAATCAAACGAGCTGACAATCTGAAATTGCTTCGGTTTAGCTGTAGACGCATTTGTTGCAATCTTATCGCTGCTTACCTTCTCGTTGCTTGCCGGCTGTTGGGCATCATTTTGACTTTGGCTATGAAACAGTTGACGTTTGCTTGTTGATGTTGCAGTTGTAGTTGGTGTTGCGGCTGCTACTGCAGTTGCAACAGTTGCTGCCACTGCCTGAATATTTGCTGTTGGCGTATTTGTTGTTGATGATGTGGTTGTTGTTGTTGTTACTGTTATTGGTGTATTGCTGCCCGCAGCCACATTCAGTTGCTTGTTGTTATTGTTGTTGCTATTGCTGTTGCGCTTGATATTGCTATTGCAAATGTTGCTGGCAGTGAGACCACCATTGCCACCGACGCCACCATTACATGCACCTCCACCGTTAACCGCCTTCCCATTGAGATTATTTAGCTTAACACCATCCAAATCACCCATTGATTTGTGCCGCTGACGACGCGACGCAGCACGTTGCTGATCCTTTTTGCAGCTGCTGTTGTTGATGTTGTTGTTGTTTGTAGGCGATGCTGATGTTGCACCATTCATGATGGCCTTAGGACTCTGCTGGCCCGAGCATTTGCGACGACGTTGCGTCGATGATGACTCAATGTCAGAGCGACGATCATTCACCCACTTCTTGAGCCGCTTCACAAACGGCATAATCATAAAGAATGAAGCTGAACCTTTGCCCAGTTTTGCCTTCGATACGGCATCGTTCTTATTAACCGGCAATGCATCAATACGAAACCATTCACAACATTTGATCTCCATGCGCGTCCGCGGCGCAAACTGCGTATCCAACGGTATATTGCGTACAATATACAATCGTATACATTGATAATTGATAAAAGCCTCAATGTAATCATCCGCATCAATGGCGTTTGTTATGTCAAAGCCTGTCTCCTCATAGACCTACAGCAATAAATATAAAACGATTAGACCATTTTGCAATTTGAAGCAATTTGATATTAGCTAAAAATTCTCTTTTCTTTTGTTTTGTTACTTGCCTCCCTGGTGGCACAGTGTGCGGGATCCTCGTTTTCGTTGATTTTACCCTTGGGGAAGCCCCAAGAGTTTCGAGCAAAAAATGATTGCACCAGCAGACAGTGATTGAGATCCTCCGATACGAGTATGGCGCCACATGTCGGCACTGATAGCTTATAATTTTTCCATTCCAACAATATCTGATCCACAGTGCCAAAATGCTTGTTCAAAAAGGGAATGTGCTGTAAAAAAAAGCAATATGTATCAATGTATAATTAAATGTTAATGACGTTAAGCACTTGTTGCTCACCTGAAAGAGTTGCATGGCGAACTGTTTGATGCCAACGGCTGGCAGTCGGCGTTGCTGCTGTTTCTGTTCTGGTGTCGTTTGATCGGAATCCTCGGGCGCGCAGAAGAAGTCCAAGTAGAACCAATGCGCCTGCTCAATTTGAAAGCAAATGCGTATTAAATTATTTAGCTCCATGTCCGGCACATTGATTATGAAACGACTGGCCAGATCGTCGAGTATATCGGACGGAATTTTCGATTTCTCTGGCAATTTGATGCTGGACGACTTTGTTGTTGTTGTTGTTGCTGCTGCTGATGATGATGCGTTGTCTGTTGCCGTTGGATCTTCCGTGGAGGAACAGGAGCTGCCATAGCTATTGGCCGTTAAGGAGTTGCTTGATGTGCTTGAGTTGGTCGATGATATGGATGAGTTGAGGCGTTGCTTTTGTGCGCTACTGTTGTGCGCCTGCTGCAATTGCTTCTGCTGTGTCTTACACTCAATGGCAATTGGTGCACTACTGATGCCTGTCGATGCGACAGCAACAGTTGCCGCTGCGGTCGATGTTGTTGTTGTTGTGAATACCGCGCCCGTTTTTAGCAATTGATTTAATACATCATTCTCAGTTTCGTTATCAGAGTGTCGTCGTTGTTGTTGATGTTGTTGTTCCTGTTTAATTGCTGCGGTTGTTTTAGTAACTGTCGACAATTGTTGATAAGACGGGCCATTGTTGTTGTTGATGTGGTTGTGGTTATTGTTGTTGTTGTTAATGTTGTTGATGTTGAGCACCTTTTGCAACGTCAGCGATGCGAGCAACGCCAAGTTATTAACTTGAAACAAACACAAATCCAAAAACATTAAAAATCGTATGGCATTGCTTGAGTAATATTCCGATTTCGTAACCTGTGTACATTAAGTTATTGATTAGAAATGGCGATGAGAACACACACAACAGATAACCGATTGCCTAATCGCTGATAACAATTTTTAAAAATGATTATATTCTTGTGGATGTGTTGGGGAGGTGTGAGTTTTAAAAATATATTCAGTAATTAACCTTTAAATAAGGTGACTCAAGTTTGGAAAATATATAGTCTTTTAGCTCTCTCTCTCTCTCTTGAATTAATTCTTTGTTGATTTTAGTTCTTAAGTTGTGACAGATTAGAGACTTTTTGGCTGTTTTCTTAAATAGCTTATCTAACAATATACCCTATATAAGTTTGGTGAAGACACATTTGGTTAAATTATTACAAAGCAGCTGATTTTGCAATTTTATGTGGTCAAAAATTTCACTGCTAGTAAAGTCCCCTTAATAAGTAAATACAGCCAAGTATTTAATTCGCGTTGACAACAAATCGCTGGGGCGTTGCCAATTAATCGACAGAGCGTTGCCACAAAATCGCATACATTTTGTAAATTTGCCAATTTGCTATGAAGTTAACACAAATGTCTTGCAAATTTACCTTTTGATAGCCATGAACTTCATAATTAATCACAGTCTAGTTAAATAATTAAAATAAAAACTATAGGTGACCTTCAAATGTTACTTTCTGCAGTATCTGTTTTCAAACGATCAACAAATAGCAACTTGGAAAAATGCTGAATAATCATTATTGCTATGTATGTGTTTTTGTATATTCACATAATGATCAAACAGCTGGGCCATTGATCTACAAATTGCGCAACAACAACTACAACTAGTCACACAATTACCAACGCTAATCGTATTTTAGCCTCTAAAATCGTGTCGCAAGATGAGAGAAGAGTGGGGGTCTCAGCTCAGTTCAGCGACCTGCCTTCGAGTGTTGCAAGCGACTGCAAATGCGCGCGTGGAAAACTACTGAGACGGAGAGATAAAAATACTCATAAATAGTAAGCAGCGAAAGTGTGTGCAATGGAGATAGAGATAGATATGCAGTTGCCTCTACTATTTTTATTGCAAAATTTGATGCATTTATTAACACTATTGTTTTATTCACTAATTTACCGTTATCATTTTGAGTGTTGTTCAATGGTTTGCCTGCTGCTGCTGTTGTTGTTGTCAAAACTGCTGCTGCTGCTACAGCGGAGCGCCTCTGTCGCTGCTTGGACTGAGACGTCGACGTAGATGCGGTGGTGGCAGCGGCGGCGGTTGCGACGACGGCGGCGGTATTAAATATTGGGGCAATTTCCATAATATTTCGTATTAGTTTTTATTTATTTTTATGTAATACACTTAGTTTAGGATATTCTTTCGTTTTTGTTTTTGATTTTTACAGTTTGTGTGTTTGTTTGGTTTATTTTATCATTCACGCTAATTTCATGCTCAGTCTTCGTCTTCCTCTTCTCGAATTTTTTGTCACGTATCTTTGCAATATCGTGGATCGAGTTTTTTCTGATTCTGCTGCTGATGTTGTAGTTGTGAATATGGCTGCCAGTCGTCGAAAATCGTTGTTGTTAGCTGCTGCTTCTGTCGCACAAATTTCAATTTCCAATGCAATTGGTGTAGTTGATAGTTTCGATTGCTGTTGTTATTTGCAGTTCTTGCTGCTGTTGTTGTTGTTGCTGTTGTTGTGTTGCAATCAACATTATCTGCATTTCTTTTTGTGTTGCTTTCGTTTGTGTTGTAAGCCATCCACAATTAATTGTGTCGCTAAACAAAAACTGAAACAGAAACAAAAAGTCTCCGCTACTCTCCACTCGGCATACGTACGCACACAACCAAACTTGTTTTTCTTCACGTACTTTCTAAAAAAAAATTGAGGCTGCCTGTGTGTGTTGTGTGTATGTATGTAGTTTTTGCGTCACTGTTATTTGCTGCTTGAGAATGGCTTACACGCTGATAGTTATATGCATGCGTTATTTATAATTATTTTATTAATACGTTGCACTTATATTTATGAAATATTTTGCACTATTTAATAGCTTTTTTAAGTTTTGGAAAATGCTTCCTCGTCGCACATATACATATGAAAGTCGCTGTTATAAGACCACTTCTGAGCATCAAGAAAATACCACTAATACCAAATGCCAGCAGCATGCGGTTACACTGCTTGGCCCAGGGTTGATTTATGTTGAACGTCAATGTTCATTATCTATCAATATATGTTAAATATAATATTCAATATCTTTTAAGCTCTTAAGGAATGGCAAACCATAGATGATCTTAGTATTATTTTAATTTATTTATTTTATTAAATAAGCGACAAAAACCTATATTAAATATATCGATAGCTGTGTTATACCATTTCTGATAGGTTCAAATCAGCTCGTTCTATCGATAGAATGAACGATACTACAATACTCGAAAAAGGCCTGCCTCTATCTGTCTCAGCGAGAAGCTTCTGATGAAAATATTGTGAAAATTTGTGTTTGTTGTGCAAATGAAAAAATGTGCAAACGCATTATTAAATAATGCTAGATGTGTTTTTACAATGCCCAGCACTGGCAGCAATTAGTTAACTGTCAAGCATATTGTATTGAAACGTCAAAAACTCCGTGCTTTTTGATTGTTCGATTTTTCCCCAAACCACAAAGTCTGGGCAAGTGCAAAAACGGGTGATTTGCGAATGCATCTGCAAGGTGAAAACGCGCACGACCAATAATTCAGCACAAATGTCGCATTAAGCAAGCACCAAAATTGCATTTTCGAACATTTCCGCCTGCACCTGGTTTCCGTGGACGTGCTTTGGATCCGTGGATAACAGAGACGCAAAGGTATTGGGAGAGACTACAAGCTATTACGATTAGAGATGAGCGCGTGACTAGTCTTGCTCACGCCCACAATTAAATATCCATTTCAAGTTAAATTCAAAGCACGAATATTGTGTGCATATAAAATGTGCACTAATAAATGCACTTAACCTAATTTAAGATCTTTTAAGTTTCCATTCGTTATAATTGTGGCGTAGAGCACATCTCTAATAGACAGTTGAATTTCTTTGTTTTTTATGCGTGGGCAAAGACTGATAATTGAGTTATTTTTATTACCCCTTCCTCCTACTGACTTAACTTAATTTTCGGATTTTTTGTTTTTGCCAATTTAGATAGACGCCGTGTGGGGTTGGGCTTCCGCCCCGCTGCGCTTAGCGGCGAACAGAATGGGCGATCCTTTACTGCCGGGCTCCACCGGCCTGGGCAGTGGTTCTGCCACCGCCGCCACTGGTGGCTCGGTCACAGCGGGCAGTGGCCTGGGCAACGGTGGCACCGGTGGTGCCGAACGTCCGCCGTCACCGGCCCGTCTCACCCACACCTCGGAGAAGCATCCGAAGGTTACGCTCACCGAGCTCAACATGTTACGGCGCCATCGCGAGCTCTGCGACGTCGTCCTCAACGTAGGCGGACGCAAAATCTTTGCACATCGCGTCATTTTGAGCGCGTGCAGCTCGTATTTCTGTGCCATGTTCACCGGCGAGCTGGAGGAGTCTCGCCAAACCGAGGTCACCATACGCGACATCGATGAAAATGCGATGGAGCTGCTAATTGATTTCTGCTACACTGCGCACATCATTGTGGAGGAGTCGAATGTGCAAACACTGCTGCCAGCCGCCTGCCTGCTGCAGTTGGTCGAAATTCAGGATATATGCTGTGAGTTCCTCAAGCGCCAGCTCGACCCGACAAACTGCCTGGGCATCCGGGCCTTCGCCGACACGCACTCCTGTCGCGAACTCCTGCGCATCGCCGACAAATTTACGCAGCACAATTTCCAGGAGGTCATGGAGAGCGAAGAGTTTCTGCTGCTGCCCGTAGGCCAGCTGGTGGACATCATTTGCAGCGACGAGCTCAACGTTCGCAGCGAGGAGCAGGTCTTCAATGCGGTCATGTCCTGGCTGAAGTACAACGTCGCCGATCGGCGACAGCATTTGGCACAGGTAAATTTTACATACTCCATGTTCATCTAATCCACTCCTGACCATGTCTAATTGCCAATTGTTCCACAGGTTTTGCAGCATGTACGCTTGCCGCTACTCTCGCCCAAGTTCCTGGTCGGAACTGTGGGCTCTGATCTCCTGGTTCGCTCGGACGAGGCCTGTCGCGATCTTGTCGACGAGGCCAAAAATTATCTATTGCTGCCGCAGGAGCGTCCATTGATGCAGGGTCCACGCACCCGTCCGCGCAAACCCACGCGTCGAGGCGAGGTGCTGTTCGCCGTGGGCGGCTGGTGCTCGGGCGATGCTATTGCGTCCGTCGAACGTTTCGATCCGCAGACCAACGACTGGAAAATGGTCGCACCGATGAGCAAGCGACGCTGCGGCGTTGGCGTTGCCGTTCTCAATGATCTGCTCTATGCTGTCGGCGGCCACGATGGCCAGAGCTATTTGAATAGCATTGAGCGCTATGATCCGCAGACGAATCAATGGTCCTGCGATGTTGCCCCAACCACTTCGTGCCGCACAAGTGTCGGCGTCGCCGTGCTGGATGGCTTCCTCTATGCGGTGGGCGGCCAGGATGGTGTACAATGCTTGAATCATGTCGAACGCTACGATCCCAAGGAGAACAAATGGTCCAAGGTGGCGCCGATGACCACACGCCGTTTGGGCGTTGCCGTTGCCGTCCTTAGTGGCCATCTCTATGCCATTGGTGGCTCCGATGGCCAATGCCCGCTCAATACTGTCGAACGCTACGATCCTCGGTGAGTTGGACTAAAGATTAAACGTATGAATTAAACAAATCCTAATTGAACTCTGTCTTCATCCGAAACTCAGACAAAACAAATGGGTGGCTGTCAATCCAATGTCCACGCGTCGCAAGCATCTCGGCTGTGCCGTATTTAATAATTATATTTATGCCGTTGGCGGTCGCGATGATTGCATGGAGCTGTCCTCGGCTGAGCGTTACAATCCCCTCACCAACACCTGGAGCCCCATTGTGGCTATGACCTCGCGGCGCAGCGGCGTAAGAGACAGCTCTAAATATGATCAATAACAACGTATTATATTTGTTTGTTCTATTTTTCTTATTGTAGGTCGGTCTGGCCGTGGTCAATGGACAGTTGTATGCTGTGGGCGGGTTTGATGGCTCAGCATATTTGAAGACCATTGAGGTGTACGATCCGGAGACGAATCAATGGCGCCTGTGCGGCTGCATGAACTATCGCCGACTGGGCGGCGGCGTTGGTGTTATGCGTGCACCCCAGACTGAGAATTATATGTGGTGCGATAACAGTTTTAGACAGCATAACCTATAAAGCGAACCACTCATAAACCACATAATGACATCTTTTCTGTATTCATCTTGTACTTTTAACACTTAAAACACACACACACAAACACACATCTATGCTAACACACAGGATACGCAAGGATTCTGTCGTCTGATGGGAGCCGAAGCCGACGACGTCAGCGCAAACGTTGCCGCCGCCGCATTTTTACTGAAAAATAACAACAGGAGCAACAAAAAATAAACAGAACGACAGATAACTGCAACAAATCGAAGCCAAATTTTTTCCAGCGTTTTAAGGTTGATGAACATGATAAACGTAAATTGTATAATTAATTGTTAATTGTTTCTCATTTGGTAGTGCGTTAAATCAAAACAAATATGCATAGTGTTAGACAAACACACACAGATCTACACAATTATACATAAACATAATTATATATATATATAAATATATATATATATATAGATAAACATATATGCATATGCTAATTATGAACGTTCAACTAACCAATCCAAAATGTTCTTTGTAAAACACAGAAACACAGTTGGTTCAAATTTCATGGAAATTTCTAACATGCCTTTTCCCCATAAATTACTCTTAAATTGATGTGAAATTCTCGATATACAAAAAAAAACAAGCATTAAAAATCAAATATATATATATTAATTAAATACTATAAATTAAATGATCGTGCTAATTGTAAAATGCTTATACCAACTATTAACCGATCGCGTACATAATACTAGCGTCTCTAGGACTTATACAACGGATAAACGAATTTGTAAATGATTTATGCACGCGATGTGCGTAAGGAATAACATGAAAAGTAAATCTTACCAATACTATTTATTAAAGTTTTAATTAAGCGCCAGCAACAGCTTCCTATCAGGCTTAAAAAAGGATGAAAAATACAATGAAAATTAGCTCTAACATAGTACATAACATTTCAATAGAACAATTAACGAGTAAATACATATTTCTAACTGATAAGCTTAACAAAAAAAAAAAACTCAAAAATTAAATCGATTTTTTGACTTGTGGCAGCTGCGACTGCTGAGAATGAAAATGTTGTTAAGAAACTAAATCGAAATAACAAAATGAAAAACGCTACTATATTTTTAAAGTGGGCGCCCATGCATTTTATTTATTATATATAATTTGTTTCGTTGTTGCCTTTTAAAATCATTTACACACACACATTTATTCACAAATTATACATCAATATTTATTAATTATTATTTTTTCTCATTGCTCACATTATTATTATTATTAGTAGGTTATTCGTATACATATGTTTATTATTTGAAATGTTGTTAACTTGGCAAACGAATTGAATGTTTGCTTCCAAATAAAATTTAAGAATAGCATTTAACAGGAAAAAAAGAACACTAATTTATATATTAGAAATAAGGAAACAACACTCACACAAATGCAAAAATTAACAATAAAATACAAATAAATAAATGCACACAAAAAAGAATCATGAAAACGTACTAAATATAAGATTATACAAAACAGTACAATAAATATATCAAAACTGCATGACTAAAAGTTATTAAATTTAATTTACTTTATATACCCTGTTACAAATGGGTAATGAGCACTATGAAGTATTTATATTATTGATCAGCATTAAGTGCAGAGTCGATCTACCCAACAAAAGGATCTCAGAGACTGAGGGCCAGAGACCTCAAATTTTGAATATATTACTTTTCGTATACCACGCGCATATCAAGTTCAATTTATTTTAACGATAATTCGTGAATATTGATATAAATCGATTACCGATAGCCAAACAGATGTCTTTTTAAAAGACTCCCCGGTGTTTAATTGAGCAAATGTAAAAGTTTTATTTAGATCGGATTAGAAACACTACAGTTATAGCCCAGAACGTATTATACTATTAAACTCATTACTATTAAAAAGTGCAAGAATTTACTGCATACATAAGTATGTGTGTGAAAAGCGGACAGCATAAAAATCGTGAATATATTGTGTATTCTACAGCTTTAACATATGCAATGGGTGCAGGGTATCTCGCCAAAGGCATTCTGACTTGGTTTAAATTGCACGTTTCGATAGAAAAGGCCTGAAATGATATCGACCGCAATCTTTATGTTTCGATAAATGGAATATGGTCATCCATGACAACAAACTCATATAAAATTGCATATAAAGTTTGAGAAGCCTTTAACAGTTTTTTGCATTGGTCTTGCTTGCTGTAAGACATGGAGAAAATATGCCGCTTTTGCTTAAGCGACACCGAAACACTTGTCGATATATTCGACGATCGAGAGAAGTCCGCGGAGGAGCCAAGCTTGGCAGAAATGCTGAACGAGTGCGTCGAGAGCAAAGTGAAGAGCGAAGATAAACTGCCCAAGAAGATATGCTTGCCATGCCGCTCGGATGCACGGACAGCGTTCAATTTCAAGCGCAGATGCGAGCACAGCAACAAGTTGCTCACTCTCAAGGTGGAGAAGGAGGATGTGGATGTAGATTTCAAGCGCAGATGCGAGCACAGCAACAAGTTGCTCACTCTCAATGCGGAGAAGGGGGATTTGGATGTAGATTTCGATGCGTTCTTTGATATGCTCGTGGATGAAGAATGGGAACTGCCAAAGAGAATATTAGACGAGAATTGCATCAAAATCGATCCCGATGCGAGTCCGAAGCCGGACGGCGGCAGTAACGAAGAGAGTAAAGTGTCGAAGAATCTGGAGCCCAACAAGACGCATACTGAGGATCAAGAGTTGGAGAGTGTTTACTCTGCGGATAGCTTGGAGCAGGCAGATCAGTCACCGCATAATGAGAACAATAATTCGATATCAAATCGATACCCAACTCGGCAGTCCAAACGAAAGAGCTACATAGAGCTTGTACCGCAATCGGACACGGACAGCAACTGGTCTGAAGACATGTCAGCATATACCAATTCGGAAGCAGGTGAATCGCAGAAGGAGACACAACAGGGGCAGGGGGAACTAAGCAAGCCAAGCAAAATGAAAGACCCCAAAGATCGTCCACATGAGTGTCCGGAATGCCACAACTCCTTTAGGCGGCTTTCGACCCTGCAGACACATCAGCGCACTCACACCGGGGAGCGTCCGTTCAAGTGTCCGCACTGTCCGCGGGTGTTTGCCCATAGCTACCACATCAAGGATCACTTGAATATCCATTCGGGCGAACGGCCACACAAGTGCCCCCATTGCCCGAAGGCGTTTAGCCAAAAATCGAATTTAAGAGCACATATTTACACACACGCCGACGGCAAACTGCGTCCGCACAAATGCGGCTATTGCACGAAAACTTTCGTCCGGAATTATGATGTCAAGGTGCATCAGCACCTGCACACCGGCGAACGTCCATATAAGTGCAGCCACTGCTCGAAAGGCTTCAATCGTCGCCGGGATCTGTCGCGTCACGTTCGCATTCACACGGGCGAACATCCATTTAAGTGTCCACAGTGTACCTTGGAATTCTCCAGGAGCGACCTACTGAAAATCCACCTACGTCGACACACCGACAATATTGGCCAAGGCGCCAAAAAGGCGGGAAAGACTTAAATTAAATATTATAAATGAGTAATTTGCTAACGTCTATAAAACGTAGAATGAAATCAATAGTTGGTTATCTATTTATGAAATGTTTTGTATTAAGCAAATATTTGATTTCAACATTTTGTAAATACCTATGGAACATCATTCACTTTCGAATATATTTAGGTTTATTTAAAATATATTTATACATGCATATATAATTTTTAAATAACAATAATTTAAGCTTTTTGAAATGGAAAGTTCTTTTTGAGATATTGCCGTTAACTGGTTTATTGACATAATAGGAATATGATGTACATATAGAAATTAAATAATGGAAAATTAAATTGCATTTCGGATATATACATACAATATTTAAATATGTACGTAAATTATATTTAAATTAATGTTTTTTTTTATGGAAAACGAAAATTAAAAAGACGCCTTTGGTTATTAGAATCATATTTTCAATCCATAAATCAAGAATATATTTTCATTTAAAAAATTATAAAATTCTAGATAATATATAACATTTGATTGTTTAAAATTAATATATTGTTAGGCGTGATTTTTGGCCTTTTTCGATTTACTTTTTGTTGGCACTTTGCTCTTGATTTGCTCCTTAATTTTGGCCAGTTTTTTTACTTTGCGAGAGGGAACTGAATCCGAACTCTTGGCTGAATTATTATCCTGATTCATGTTTTTCTTTGCCTTTGCCTGTTGTTTGAGTACCTTTTCGGTTTTCTCAACTTTTTGCAGTTGAACGAAGTTTTTGGGAATTTCCGGTCGTATTTTGGTTGATATATCTTCTCGTTCCAGCGGCTTCTTGGCACGCACTTTCGCCTCCGATTTGCGCACTTTCTTCATTTGCAGCATGTACTCCGGCACCTTGCCACCCGAGTTCCTAATTATCTGTGCAACGCTGCCAAATGGGAGATATATTAAGCGCGCTTCTAAATTGTATGACATCTTCACTTACCTTCTCAAATTGGCCGTGTCGTCCTGGGTAAAGAAGGTAATGGCACGTCCCGGACGCCCAGCGCGACCCGTACGACCAATGCGATGAATGTAGGAGATGGTCGTTGGCGGAAAATCATAGTTGATGACCAGATTGACGCCCTTAAAGTCAATGCCGCGTCCCATCAGCTCCGTACAGATGAGCACCCAAATGTGCCCCTCACGAAAAGCGCGCACACAATTGTCGCGCTGATGCTGCGTACGCTCAGCATGGATGACATCCACGTTGATGCCATCGTAGAGCAGCTCCTCGAACAGCTGCTTGGCACGCTCCTTGCTCTGCACAAAGACCAGCACTGGCGGCTGGAGTCCATTGCGTACCATCTCACGCACCGCTAGCAGTTTACCGCTCTCGGAGCCCACAAAGAGCAGCTCCTGTTGCACTGTATCCGTGGCACTGTTCTGCACTCCGATCGTTATGCGCACCAGATTCTTGAGATGACGCAACGCCCATTTGGCCACGGGCACCGTGTACGTTGCACTGAAGAAGGCGACACGTTTCTGGGCGTGCGTACATGCCGCATAGATGTCGTCCAGCTGCTCCTTGAAGTTGTTTTGGCCCTCTTCCATGAGGCGATCAGCCTCGTCCAGCACAAACCACTCGATACCCTTCAAGTCCAGCAGCGGTGGCTGCTGCTGCAACATGAATCGCACTCGGTTCGGCGTCGATATCAATATATCATACTTTTGCTTGCACTCGGGACCATGCTGTTGTCGCGCCTCGCTTACCTTGCTGATGAAGTGCGTCCGTAAGCCAGTCGATCGGGTTAGTTCGCCGCATTCGCGATATATTTGCTGGGCGAGCTCACGCGTGGGCGCCAGCACTAGAGCACGCAATCCTGTTGTCTTGTGGCTGCGCAGACTGTTAATGATGGGCGTGAGAAAGGCTAACGTCTTGCCAGACCCCGTCGGTGCACAGGCCATCAGTGCTCTATTGGCCAGCAGGACGGGCAACGCCTGCATTTGTATAGCTGTGGGCTGGGCGAAGCCATACGACAATAGATTCTCTTGCAGACGTGGCAGTAGATTGTAGTGTGGCGAGTTCAGTTCGTCAAAGCTGCTTATGGGCGCTGGCACATCCTTGCCCAGTACTGTTATGCTATTCTCCTTGCGCAGTGCACTGATCTGCTCGGCTCGCTGCAGTTGCTCCAACTGTTCCGGCGACAATTGCTTTTTTGCCTTCTTACGCCTGGGCTCATTTGACGTAGCGCTTGAGTTGTCCGCAAGTAAACGAAATTCGGCAGTTGCTGTGCATTCCTCTGATAGCTTCTCTTCCTTGACTGGCTTACAAACTGGTTGCTTTTGCTCCTTTGAGATTTGTTGAGTGCATGGTTTGATTGATGGAGCCTGCTGAGTATATGCTAAAGTTAGTGTCTGTCCTTAATTTATTAGCTTCTACATACCGTACGCTTCTTGGTGAATCGCACACCAGCTGTTAATTGTCTAAATATGTCATGCGTATCCATTATTTTGTGCCAAATAACTCAAGTAAATTAAATCGAATTTGACGCACGTGCATTTGTTTTGTTATTGCTGCAGTGTTGCCAGATGTTCGGCAGATGACCGGTAAACAACTATCGGACTGAACTGTTATCGATAGTACGGTATTTTCGAATGAGTCAAGTTTATTCTCCGTGCTGACTAACAATGTTAACGGACGAATTCATGCTTTTATTTATTACATCTTTTTATTTAAAGTATACATATACTTAATTCTATTCCCCATCATCAGTTTTGACCAATGCATCGAGCAGTTCCATCCGTCGACGAAGTCCTTTTATATCCTTCTCGCTACCTCGACGCACTGGCAGCTCTCCGCCCCAGTTGAATTTATTCTGATCACTCACATCCGTTCCAAGGTAATTGTCGAGGAAATCCACACATAGATTGTGCAACGCACAAATGCTTTCCACAACAAGCCGCACCTCATTCAAGTCCCGCGCCTCCAACGCATACAAAGTGTGAAAGCGACGCGCCAAAGTGTCATTAACATTGTCGGCCAGTTGGAATGCCGGCTCCAGCAGGCCATTGAAGACGATGTCCTTTCGAAAGCACTCGGCCTCAATGGGTCGCACCAGGTAAGATTTCAGTGGAAAACTGTTGCTGCCAATCAGATAGCTGCCTGCTGGCATCGTGCGCGGATTTAGTGCCAATGTTTGTCCAATGGGCGACTCCTCGAAGCTGTACTCCTGCTCCAGCTCCACATAGCAGTCGATGATCTTGCGCTCCGCATTGCAAATTAGCTGTAGTACTACGGCCACCTCAGCATGCTCACACTCCAGGAAGATGTCCAGGCGCTTCAGGGATATGATGCCGAACAGTTCGTGGAAGCAACTCAGCTGCGGCACACTCTGAAAGCCTTGCAATGTGTTCTGTTGTGCCTCCAAGGAGTTGGGCCACTTGATGAAGCTCTCGTAGTTGTCCGAGATAATGTGCCAGAAGCTGCGCACCACCTGCTGACACAGCGACCAGGGAAACTGAAACTTGCGCGCAATCTCCTCGAAATGCTCGTCCGTTGCCAGTTTCCACAAGGCCAGCGAGAAAGTTGTCTGCGGCGCTGGCGAGCCGGGCACAGCATGCCGCAGCAGCATCCCCTCCAGCGACTGCTGGATTTTCTGCAAGGCGATTGGAATTAAGGGTAGCTGCTTTTTTGGAGAACCATACTCACCAGATAGGTCAGTTTACGCATATGCAAATAGGATTCGAACTGTGCATCCACATAGCGATGCAACAAATTCAGCTCAGAGTATTTCCACTCCAATTTTGCCACTTTGCTAGATGCTCTTGCCGCCATTGCAGGCTCCACGAAATGTGACCGCTTCAGTTTTCCCTTGGCCGGTACTCGTTTTTGCTGCATTAGCGCAAAGATTTCCGCCTCATCGTCACTGGCTTCGAGCAGCGGATAATTGGTGGAAAAGAAGCTGGCATTGCTGCTGCGACTGGAAGGCTCATCGATGAGCAGATCCTTTGTAATAATTGTGGCTATATTTGCCAAGACAGCTCGCTCTTCCATGTTGGTATCTTTCACGTCTGCCTTTCTGGCATCCCCCATTAAAGGGGCTGCGGATTTGCTTTCTTTTCCACCCTTATTATTATTATAGTGGAACAGCTGTTAATATTGCGCGCCAAGTTTGCGCATTTCAATTTCATTGCACTTCAAATAAAATTAATATCATTTAAATATACAAAAACTACATAATTACATAATTCTAATAACAATAATCACCAAATATTACCAAATATTACATTTAAATTCAAATATCTGCAACGTTGCCATTATATTCGATAGTTAAACTCTCCAAGCTGGCAGCCGTTATCGAATCTCAGAGAAGTTCCCATTTATTCTTCTACTGTATTTATGAACGTTAAAAAATTAAAATTACAATAACAACATTTGCGATAATATACAATTGAATTGATAGATCTTCAATGCTGTCATCGATTTGTTATCGAAATAAACGGCCAAGCCACAAGTGAAACTCAACTAAATGAAAAGCGCTTCAAGGTAGAAGCTGCCAAGGAGAAAACAGCTGATCTGGCGACGTTTCTTGTCACGGCGGCGGCGCAAGTGCAACTTTGGCCACAACTTGCAGCGTTTTTCGTCGGAGGAAGCGTTGTTTGACTATCGGCGCCGCAAGGAATTCCATTTAAATCACACTCCAGAGGATCTGCCAACGTTTATTTAATAAAATAATAACATATTTATTTAAATAGGTGCTACTTACCTGCACAAGGCGCCTTCACACCAAAGTTATCCCATGTGCACTCATGCAAGCTGGGATCTGCATCCCTTTCGTTTGGGCGATTTCCTGGTGCCACCGCTCCAGAACGCAGCTGCTGAACACGCTGCCTCATGATTGCCAGAATTTCCGAGTGCTGCTTCGAATAAGCTAGATTATTTTGCTCGCATGGATCGGTGCTGAGATCGTACAGACACTCCTCCAATAGGGCATTGCAACCACGTTGCATGTCAGAGCAGATGACAGCTGCAGAACGGCTAAGAATATCGATGCGATCTTGTGTAATCTGCTGTATATCGAAGGATGCGAGCTCCTTGGAGACAGCTGAATTACGCACCGCCATCCCATAAATGGAGGCACGCGGATCCAGGTCGTCCAGCTTGCGATAGGTGAGCAATTGATCGTACTGACCCTTCGAGGTGGTGCCATTCACATACTTATACTGACCCAGGAGCAGTGATTGCATTCTACCGACATCATCCAACTGGTGAAGAATCTCTCGCGGAACATGCGGAGCATCTTTTGGTCCCGACAACTGCGGCCACAAGTCAATGCCATCGAGATGCAGGGAGGAGTCCAGTTCAATGCCGGCAGCATGCGCCAACGTGGGGAGGAAATCACCAACATAGATGGGCTGCGTAAACAGATTGCCACGCGCCTTCAGCAATGGACTCCAAATGGCGCCGGCAACACGCAGGCCACCTTCCCACGGCGAATCCTTCTGACCTTTTAGTGGCCAATTCGAACCTGTGTTGGCAAAAATGCCCACAGACGGGGCTCCATTGTCCGAGTAGAATATCACAATGCTGTTCTCCAGTTGATCTGTGCGTGCCAATGCGGTTATTACTCGGCCCACGCTTTCATCCAGTTTGGAAACCATGGCTATAAAAATAATATTGTAATAAACAATTAAGAATGCTTTATTGCGAATTGTGAATGTCCAATGAATAGATTAGGGTATCTACTATTTTTACGCCCGACTACTAGATATCCTTTATCAAAATAATCTTAATAGACATTCGAAAAAAAATATATATAATTATAATAATATCTATAAAATACAGTTGAACTTCTGTGCAAAGTTGTAATTGAAAAATGATACACTACCCCAATTATCATTCCTTGATAGTAAAGTTTTGCTCCTTTCTTGATGCCACACTTTAGAAATGTTATCTTAAAATACTTTTAACTATTTGAGAATATACCACGAAGAATAATTTTCATAACAATTTTCAAAAAAAATTTCGGTAGCTCATTAACTCAATATGATATGCTCAAGATAGGAAGGTTGGAAATTAAAATGTATCTATGTGTTGCGAAAAAGAGAGTTTGAACGAACATCAATTCCAGATTTACATAGTCTTGAAGTGGGCAGATATTCAGAGATTATTGCTTTTGCCGCATATGTAGATCAATTTGCGATTTTAAATGAGTATACTTAATCAAAAGTACTGCTTATTAAATTCACCTGCATATAATCTCCGGTTTGGATCGTTGATGTGGACAAATTTTTGGAGCTCCTCCTCCGGTGCCTGCAACGGATCAATTTCATTGCCCGTGTGGGGGGCCAAATGGCTGAGTATTAGGAATAGGGGCTGCTCCTTGGCCGGCTGCTCTCGTATTATGCGCTCCGCTTCGTTGGTCAACAAATCCGTGACGTAGACGCCTCGATCTGTGCACTCCACCTGCATGTTGCGTCGAAAATCATAGCCCATAGAATAATTGTCTGATGGCATTTGGGAGCGACGCTGATAGTAGTCGATGTAACCACCCCAATAGCCATAATGATAGTCAAATCCCCGATATGTGGGTGTATACTCCGGCCGGACGAATCCCAAATGCCATTTGCCAACCAGATTGGTTGAATAGCCCGCATCCCGAAAGATCTCCGGCATCAGTGTAGCATTCAACGCCAGACCCCAGGGCTCCTCGTTAAGAATCACACTATGCTGTGTGCCTGTGCAATATATCTGTTTTACTAAAAGTAACAATAACTTGAGATAAGTTTACCTGTATGTATGGGATATTTGCCGCTTAGAAGCGCTCCACGAGATGGGGTGCACATGGACGGTGCATAGAGACGGTCCAGGAGGCGTCCATGGTAGGCCAGTGCATCAATGTTGGGCGTTAGGAATTCACGTGCTCCGCGAATGCTAATGTCATCGAACCCCTTTTAGGTAGGACGTTTTATTATTATTTTTTATTTATTTATTACGAAATGGCTTTGACTCAAAACCTGATTGCGGTTTATTTGACTCACCATATCATCAGCCATTACAATAATTATATTGGGCAATTTGCTGGCAGTTCTAGTCTCATTTTTCTCGCTCGCCTCAACCCAGCTGAGATTGGGCAAAAGTAAAAGGACTGATAAGATGACGAAGCGCATTTTCGTAAATATTGAAACCGCTCCAGACGGCAGCTAAAAAACGACTGAGACGCGCATTTGCACAAGATATAAGAGTTATCTTAGGCACGACGAATATAACACCTGTGCCAACATGCTGACTTCGTAATTGCACTATAAATTACAACTAGCTATATACTATTGTGGTCCGTTTGTTTTGTGTAAATGTGGGGAGTATAATAAGGTTAACTAGATAATATGATCCCAATATAATATATATATTCATCATTTGACCGATTCTTCCAACTGTATTATATAACTGTATTATTTACAACTGAATTATATAGTGATCGCATCCTGGCGGCAACAAAGTAGTAATATTTACTTTATAGGGTCGGAGACGTCTTTTAATACGTAACAGCTTTACGACAAAATGATACCGCGGGAAGGGTATACATATCTGGCCAGCTCGAATGCTCTCCAGCAATTAGCACACAATAATAAAGTTTAGCAACTGTCACAAATATGTTTAAGCACATATGGTCGAATGTGGGATATAATAACAATAATTGCAACAAAACAGGTATTCAATAATTAATTTAAATTGAATGATCTGCCACGCAGCCAGTCAATGCTTCCACATATTCGATAATAAAACTCTCCAAGGTAGCAGTCGTTATCGAAATTAACGGCCAACCGATCGCATTTTGAATTCATTGTATTTCATATTTATTATTCTACTGCATTTATATACAAATGTACGTTGAAAAGTTTCAATTACAATAAAAGTGATTGCAACAATTGTAAAGAATTGTATTAAAATATGATCATCATAGCCAGCGATTTCTTATCGAAATAAACGGCCAAGCCTCAAGTTAAGCTCAAGAAAATGAAAAGCGCTTTAAGGTAGAAGCCGCGAAAGAAAAAACAGCTGATTTGGCCACTTTGTTCGCCACGGCGGCGGTGTAAATGCAACTTTGGCCACAGCTTGCAGCGTTTCTGGTCGGAGGCGTCATTTGGCTATCGGCGCCACAAGGAGTTCCATGGAAATCGCACTCCAGAGGCACTGAAAACATTTATTTCAAAATAAGAATTTAGTGATAATATTAAATTATTTAAACAGGTGTTACTTACCTGAGCCACGAGCCTTAACCCCAAAGTTATCCCATGTGCACTCGTGCAAGCTGGGATCTGCATCCCTTTCGCTTGGACGATTATTCGGAGCCATAGCTCCAGCACGCAGCTGCTGAACACGCTGCCTCATGGATGTCAGAATTTCTGAGTGCTGCTTCGAATAAGCTAGATTATTTTGCTCGCATGGATCGGTGCTGAGATCGTACAGACACTCCTCCAATAAGGCATTGCAACCACGTTGCATGTCAGAGCAGATGACAGCTGCAGAACGGCTAATTGTATTGATGCGAGCTTGTGTAATCCGCTGGAGATCGTAGCGTGCAAGCGCCCTAGAGGCAGGTGAGTTACGAACTTCCACCACATAGCGGGAGGCACGCGGATCCAGGTCGTCCAGCTCACGATAGGTGAGTACTTGATCAAATTGGCCAGCCAAGGTTGTGCCATTCACATACTTATACTGACCTTGGAACAACGATTGTACTCGCCACACATCGTCCAGCTGGTGCAGAATCTCTCGCGGCACATGCGGAGCATCTTTTGGCCCCGACAACTGCGGCCACAAGTCAATGCCATCGAGATGCAGGGAGGAGTCCAGCTCAATGCCGGCAGCATGCGCCAACGTGGGGAGGAAATCACCAACATAGATGGGCTGCGTAAACAGATTGCCACGCGCCTTCAGCAATGGACTCCAAATGGCGCCGGCAACACGCAGGCCACCTTCCCATGGCGAATTCTTTTGACCTTTTAGTGGCCAATTCGAACCCGTGTTGGAAAACATGCCCACAGACGGGGCTCCATTGTCCGAGTAGAATATCACAATGCTGTTCTCCAGTTGATCTGTGCGTGCCAATGCGGTTATTACTCGGCCCACGCTTTCATCCAGTTTGGAAACCATGGCTATAAAAATAATTTCGGTTAACAGGTATGAACAAGCTTATAATTGGGGTGAATGGCCGCCTAGTAGATAAGATTAGCTACTGTATTTACGACTGACTAGTGGGTACCCTATATTAAAGATTTATGATCACAAAAAATATTTATAAATTGCAAGGATGTTTTTCTTGTAAATATGAATCGTTTTCGTTTTTATATTTATATAATGAAGTGCATTTCTGGTAAAGTTCGAGTTCATTGTACTTTTACTCACTACGCTGCAAGCTGCTTTTATTCAAAATTGATCAAACAAATATGCACCAAAAATAAGTTTCTGTAGCTCTTCAATTACCGTTTATGTTCGAACCCCTCTTTTGGATTCAATATTCATACATCTTTTGGGAAACAGATAGAGTCAAAGACAGAAAATTTGCTTCTGCCTATGATATTCAAGAACCTGAACTCCAGATTTAGGTCGTCTGTAAATCAACTCTGAATCAATTCTCATCTGACGACGCTGATTGAGCTGATGCATGAGTATATGTACTCAATGGGGTCAGAGATGCTTGTTTTGCTTTTATTTTTACAGCTAACTAAAAGTATTGCTTATTAAGATAGCTACTAAAACTCGATCAGAACTCACCTGCATACAATCTCCGGTTTGGATCTTTGATGTGGGTAAATTTGCGCAGCTCTTCCTCTGGGGCCTGCAATGGTTTATTAGTATTGCCTGTGTGGGGGGCCAAATGGCTGAGTATTAGGAATAGGGGCTGCTCCTTGGCCGGCTGCTCTCGTATTATGCGCTCCGCTTCGTTGGTCAACAAATCCGTGACGTAGACGCCTCGATCTGTGCACTCCACCTGCATGTTGCGTCGAAAATCATAGCCCACGGAATAATTGCCTAATGGCATTTGGGAGCGACGCTGATAGTAGTCGATGTAGGCACCCCAATAGCCATAATGATTATCAAAGCCCCGATGTGTGGGTGTATATTCCGGCCGTGAGAATCCCAAATGCCATTTTCCAACTAGATTGGTTGAGTAACCTGCCTCACGGAAAATTTCCGGCATCAGAGTAGTATTCAACGCCAGACCCCAGGGCTCCTCATTTCCGATCACATAATGTTGTGTGCCTGTGCGATACATCTGTTATAATAATACTAATCATTACTTTTGATATGCTCACCTGTATGAATAGGATATTTGCCGCTTAAGAGTGCTCCGCGAGATGGGGTGCACATGGACGGTGCATAGAGGCGATCCAAGAGGCGCCCATGGTAGGCCAATGCATCAATGTTGGGCGTTAGAAATTCGCGTGCTCCGCGAATGCTAATGTCATCGAAACCCTTATAGATTATACGACTTATGATTATTTTTGTTTATGTATTACGAACTGTTGTTGATTCAAAAACTGATTGTGATTTAGTTTACCCACCATATCATCAGCCATTACAATAATTATATTGGGCAGTTTGTTTGCAGTTCTAGTCTCATTTTTCTCGCTCGCCTTAACCCAGCTGAGATCGAGCAAAAGTAAAAGTGCTGATAAGATGACGACGCGCATTTTCGTAAATATTAAAATTTTCGAATGCCGCTCGAATACCGCTCCATGCGGCAGTTACAAACCGACTGAGCAGCGCATTGGAAAAAATCTTGCCAGACACTCGAGCGCTGCTCAGCGATTAGCAGACAGCACTAAAGTTACGTATAAGCTCGACTATATGGCAAAAGCAACAACCGCTGTTTGAATAAGCACTAAAATAGACAATTGTTCATTGACGGCTCTGTTTAAAAATAAAATCAAATCGTAAATGCAATTGCGGTTTATGTGGCGCACTTTTAGGGCTCAATGTCGAATATTGAATTAATTGATCTTCTTATTAGAATTATATTAATCCTTTTATTATAATTGTTATTGTTTATAATTTAATTATTTATTATTATTATTTTTTTATTATTAATTATATTTTATTATTATTATTAAATGATTTATTATTATTTTATATTATTTATTAACTCTGATATAACCGAAGTTTTCTGATAAAAAACTTGATGCTTAGAAAAAGTTTTGAGTCTTTGGCAAAAAAAAATTATGAATGATATAATTTACTTGTTTTTGTTTTGACAACTGCGATGTGTGGTAAATAAAGGTTTCAGTATTCTTGTTTATATAACAAATGATAACACACCTTAAATCTTTAAAAACGGTTTTATTTAAAATAATATCCCATTATATCCACTTGCCCCTTCTCTTTACCACTGTCTTTAGTATAACGAGTGTTTATCAGAGTAGTCCGCTAATTTCCCGTTTAGTAATTTTAGACATTTTCTTTTTACTCGAAGCATTGTTGTTATTGTTGTTTGCTATCTGACTTTCTAGAAAGGCTTTAAATCGTGCTTAAAATGTTGAAGAAATATTTTCGTGATTTTATTTTACTAGCTTTTTTAAACTCATTGAGTTTGCTGAACATAATGATGGCAATCGTGATGAATTAATAATACAGCAGCACCGTAAAATAGAAAAAGAGGTGAGAGGGGGGCCAATATTTTTATGGCTAACCTGTAACCATAATTTTTTATTTGCTTTACGTTTTACATCATAGTACAGGGAATTTCATGTTTGGGTATATTAATTAAATATTTATTGGTTGTAGATCAGTGATTCGACTCCATTGGTTAATGATAATAATAAATTCCATTAACCTGTTTGACGGCAGAATATCAAGGCGACGTCGTTTTTACAGCCAAAATTCAAGATTTAGCTGGTAAATATCAATTTATACGACGTACACGATATACAGCTAACAGGGCAACTGTTTTTTTTACTCTTACAACTTGGCTTTCCCGGATTTTCATGAAACTGTAAGTCGAAGCATTTCGCTAATAGAATATTATCGTTTACTTGTCCAACTAGTTTATGGATGTTATAAATAGAGTCGGAGGAACTGTGGCTATGCTATGGCGAGCTGCATAATATCTTCAACGAAAAGGGTTACTCCAAATATGTGATTGTTTATCTGCCCTTGGTAAAATCGGCACAACTACAGAAGGATGCCGAATTCCAGCACTTCATCAATGGTGATCTCACCGTTGAACAGTTGTGTCATCAAGAAGTCGGCCCATGTTTAATGAACCCGATCACATAGCGATACATGTCATAGCATTGTATGCAGCCCTGAGCGCAGGTGTGCATGTTGAATACCTGTACAGGGCTGAGAGGCTCTGAGCCCATGGTGTATCTTATCTACAGACCCGGTCATTATGGTACATTATATTCAAAGTCTCCTTAACTGGGTTAAATTTGTCTATTAAGGTTTTTAATATTGCTTGGTTTTCTATTATCAACTAATTTACTTATCTAGTTGGCGTTTAACGACGTAAAAGAATAATTGCTGCCATATAAACTGATTATCGCTTTGTTACAACAACTTGGGGTTATTATTACAATGCTGCGGGCATTTTGGCTCGTTATCTCGAATTAAATAAAAGCAGCATTTGAGTTTATGGTCTGACGGCTGGTTGATAACCTTAATCACACCTGGCGATCATGCCATTGTGTTTAAAGTATTTTCCCAGCTGATTATGTTTTTATTGAAATATAATTATTATTATTTTTTGTTTTAAAGTGTAAAATATTTATCTCTAGAGTACACTTCATTTGTGGTCAAGTATTCTTTTAAACTATTTGCTAAGTGACTAAATAATAAACACAGAAATTAACTAAAAAGCTTTCGCCTCAGTTAGGCACACACACACACACTTATTAACACACATTTAGATAATACTAATTATTAATACACACACGCACAATCATTAGCTAGTTTAAAGGCATAATCAATAGCTCAGTATGAGCGCTTTTTATGTTCCTATGTCCTGTAATTTCACCAAACAACGCTACGCACCGCAGCTGGCAATCCACATATCGCATTGTGCACGGGTATGGCCAGGAATCCGGCGAGGGCGATGCCGTAGGAATCCGATTGGACGACCATGGACATGGCGAACTGCTGGCGACCCGGTGGTATTTCCTTGGACATGCGGTAGAAGGTATTTACATAGGCACCGCCACCCAGCAGTCCCTCCCACAGCACAATGACGAACACAATCCAAATGGTGGGCGTGTAGAACCAAATGACTTCCGTGAGGAAGTAGATAACGTTAATGAACTGAAACACGGACATCAACCATATCTTGTCCAGTTGGAATAGGTTGACGGATGAGCGCGATATGAAGACGCCTATCTGATAATCCACATTGAGCCAGCGATACTGAGCAGCCATATCCAGGAAGATGTTTTCAAAGTATACCAGCTCAAACTGTAAAGGAACAATACTCCAATTATACGCATGTAAAAATATCATTAAAAGCAATGACTGACCAGGCCTTGATTGATGAAGTACTCAAAGAAGTAAACCAAGCACAACGGCAGCATATATTTGAGCAGATGCTTTATGTAGGACATCTTCTCCTTGAAGCCCACCAGTGGTTTATCATCGCTAATGAGTTCCTCGGTGGATTCCACTGTGGTCACAGGCAAAACCTGTGGGCGACGCAATAACAGCCAGAAGGCAACGGCTTCGATAGCGGGGAAGATCAGCATGATTAGCATCGTATCGCGTGGACTTAAGTCCAGAGATCGCAGCGTGGCATAGCTTAGTGAACCAATGACTCCAGCACCGCCAGTGCCCGATGACCATGTCGATATGACATTTCTGTAAGAAAAATATGCAGTTAAAATCGTGTTAAGATCTAAAAATTTAACTGAAAAGCTTACTTGTTAAAGCGCGAAGAGTACGCCAGAAATGTAGCCTCTCCAATGCCACTGCTAGCTGATGTAATGACCACGCCCAGCAACGCCATCCATTCGGCATTTGCTAAGCCAACCAGCAGAAATCCAGCCGCCGAGAACAAAATCGCAGTGCCAATGCGTACACTGTACGAAAAATATATCAGATTGTTTAAAAATGTTGGTAAGATTCTCATTCTCAAAATGAATATATTTATTATAGTAATATTTATAGCAAATTTAGTAAAGTATATATAGTATGATAGTACAGCATGCATGCTCGTTAAATAAATTTAAAAACATTGTTTTTTTGTTTCGACTTTATTTAATGTACTTGTCCTTGCAAAGGGTAATTTAATTTTTGAATAAAACGTTTAAGAACTGGTTTTATTATTATTTATTACTTATTTCTTTTTAATCATCTGTCTATTAAAATTAAAAATAATCTCCCTTTTTAAGTTATCGTGATAATTTATTAATTTTTCAGCAGGAATTTTAAGGCACTATATTATATGACAGATATCAGTTAAAAGATGAGAACTTATGTGAAACAAAGTATCTTGACCAAACTCTCAAATGATGTGGTTTTTTAGTATTTTTCTTTAGAATGCTTCCCAAAAGTACTATTCTTTCTTGCAAAACATTATTCAGAATCAATTTATTGATATCAGAATTCAAGCGATTGGATAACTAGCAAATAAGAATAAATGAATACAAACTCACTTAACCCAAAAGGGGGCGAAGGGCATCAGTATCTTGACAAACAGCGAGGGCAAAACATCCGCCAATAAAATGGCACCTGTGGATACCAAATGGCATTGGCGTTCATTATCAGCAACATCATTGGGATCTTTCTCTGGCTAAAATGGAGTATCAGTTAGTTTATTTATAAGAACATTTGTCATGATTATTCTTACCTTCTCATTAAACTGATCAATGATATCATGGGCAGCACTCAGCATTACCACGTAGCCATAATTGTTACACAGACCCAGTATCCAATAGGCTGTCAAATCTCGCCACAAACTGCGATCATTTCGTATGCTGTGTGTGGCACCTGCCGTAGTGACCACCACCTGAGGATCGTGTTCGCTTTCGTCCGCCTCTTGCTGCTTGCTGGGCGACATTTTGGTCAGAACCACTGAAATGAAAACAAAAAACTTTTTTTAATAAGCATTGCGTGGTTGTAATCTATTCAGCTCTATCCAGTCTGAAAACGATGTATGTAGACATGTTTTCTAAAGATGTTATATGGCTAAATATATTTGTAGAGAGCTTAACTTTACACCTGTGCCTCAGTTTGTATTTAACTTTACACCTGTGCCTCAGTTTGTGCAGGTGTTGAATATAATATGCAAATTAAACATTTTTAAAAAGCTTTCATGAGCTCTTAAATGCATAAAGTTCAAAAGCTTTGCTTATTTTAGTAACTCAATTATTTTGTATTATTTAATTTATTAAGCTAAACATGTTTGCCTGCGGTCTTGAAGTTGACATTGTTTTTTTTCGTTAAGCAAGTTCCTAGAACAAATTTTGCCGACCTACATGGCGAATACGTGATTTAAATGCCAACAACCTAAAACAGCTGCAACTTTTTAGTATCAGTTAAGTGTACTTAGGAAAAGTATTTTTTGTTGCATAACCCAGAACTTAAGTGAACCTAGGTGAGTAAAAATAATATAAAGAAACTCAAGTGTTTTATAACTGAACTGAACTGAAGTAAAGATAACAAAGGCAGCACGCTAATTTTAAATGTTTAACAATTAAGTTATTCTTTGCACAGAGTACTTCCTAAACAGTATAGTGCGTTGTAAAAGTGAACTAATTTTCTAGATAATTCTTTAAAAACTATTTCTTATATTTATATTGAGGCAAGGTGTTTAATAATTACAAAGAGTAAGAAGTCACTTAATATTTACAAAGTTTATTGATGCGTTAAACTGTTCTTTATTGCTGTTCAATTTTATTTTTACTTTAATTTGCCGACATGTACAGAAGCCAAGCTTTATTCTACATGCGTCATTCAGTTAAAATATATATATTTTTGTTGCCTTAGCACACGATTAGATATTGCTATTGTCACAACCATGTTTTGAAAAATGCCTGTATTTCACAAAATAAATAATTGGGCTATACAAAATGTAAATGCACAATTATATATATATATATATATACATATTTAATTACTCTTTGGAATTCAGGCTGCTAATGTTTTTGTGTCATTATAATAGAATTTGTTTATCAACCATTCAATGCAACGCAAGGGGAACAAAACTAGATCCGGATGTGGATGTCGATGATATCGGAATCTGTCCATTTATTGGCAAAGCTTTTCGTATGAGCAAAGTACAAAATGTTCGATTTGTTCGCAATCCCTAGAACTTGTGATTTGATAGAGAAACAGAACAATAGCTAAGTGAAAGAATCAGTAGTAAAAAAAGTACATTTCAATTGACTGCCAGAAATATTGAGAGTGAGAGAGAAAGAGGGAGAGAGGTTCCGCTAGATCATTAGTATCCAATCAAGTTATCTCAACGATTCGCTCAGATGCCGCTGCAACTATGTGACCTTGTCAATTCTTTAGATTAGCTACTGAACAGCTAAATAGACGCCTGTGCAACCCACGTGAGAACTTACAGAGTGGCAATAATTAAACCAATAACAAATCCATTTGTTACACACGTAACAACAGGTCAAGTTCTCGATAAGATGCATGTCTATAAATATTTCAAATTGTCGATAACAATCTTTACGCTGACTCATTCAGGTGCTATACACAGCCATGTTGTTGGCCTAGTTTGTAAGACTATCTCAGCTTAGTTGTCACTTTCGTTTGGCATAGCCGGCAATAAACCTGACACCGGTCCGTCAAAATGCATTTGCAATTATAACCGATAACGTAAACTGACCCGACAAGTTTGCGCCATTTGCCTCGGTTCATTTCTGTTTTTATTTATTGCACAGCACAATTTGTCTAAATCACATGACATTTAGTTTTGCTGGCTTCAATACAAGTTCAAATTGTATATTGGAAGCTTTAGTTTTGTTGGTTGTTATATGGGAGTACCGGGAGAACTGGTTCAAGATATAGAGTCGTTATACCCTAGCTATTGACTTTCGTTTAACCAAGTGCTTTGAGTTAAGAACTAATATTTATGATTTCATATTCTGATTAATAGAGAATTTTAATAATATTATAGGATATTTTCGTATCGATTTAAGATACATATTTATTATATATTACTTAACTATTTACTTAAGTTAAGCATAGTTGTTGTTAGAAGATTGAATATTTGTATATGCTTTTTCTGGGTAATAAATTATTTTAATGGGTTGAGAGACGCTATATAAAATTACCGGCTATATAAAATATCGGCTTAAGATAAGTTGTTCAACAGTAGCATGAGAGCAAACACAAACGAAGTTGTTTATTTTGAAAATAGGTTAATTAAAAATGCTTAAACAGACTTTGAGTTGTTTATATGTCCAACATCAATAAGTAAAATAAAACAGTAAACTCAAAAAGTTTAAGGCTCAACAAGCAAATATATGTGAATCATTTCAAGAACTGCTCTAAACTTTAACACTTAAAAGAAGTTTTAGATATCTTCATTTAATAATTGTATTGTATTATAAATATGTAAAACATAATATACATTAAAAATTATGTATATATATTTTAAAAATGCTTTTTTTTATTGTGTTAATATTAGGTTGTATTAATTGAAGAATTATTAGTACTATAAATATTTTGTATTTTTTTATAATAACTGTATTGTACCATAAAAAAATAAAAAATTGTATATACGTAAGCACCTTTTGTAAATCTTTATCTTTTATGGTCAAAGGTTTTTGATTGTTTTAATATTTGATTGTATTTGGAAGACTTAGAGAACAGTTTCCGAAAATTTCAGATAACGTCGCCGGCTCGACAATGTTTTGCGCGTTTTAACGTTCCACGACCGACTGAATCTGAATGAACCGCCCTCAAAATGAGACCCACAACGTCGCTGACGCTGACAATATAGACGGCAGCAGCAGCAGCAGTAGCAGCAATAGCAGCAGCAGCAGCGGCAACGATGAACGTCAAAGACCCCAAGTGCTTAAGGCACGCGAGTTGCGAGCGGCAGCATAAAAAAGTCAAAGTAAAAAGCTAGCAAAACAACAACCAAAAGGCAACAAGTGCCAAATTGTCGATCAAGCAGGTAACTGCACGAGTATATAAACAATGTTTCAAACAAATATATATATGAATGGGCAACACTGTAGCTGCAATGGCGAATACCTTTGCTTTGGGTGCAATAGTGAGGGGCTTTGGGCGTTAGGCCGCTGAGACACGTCACGTTTATTTATTTATTTTTATTTTTTATTTCTGCCTGCACTCTTGTTTCGGCTGGCCTTACTTGGCCTCTGCTAATGAAGCGTTAAAATATTTCATTGGCGTTTGCCAAATTCATTTTGAATGCCAGTCGGTGGTGTTGTTATTGTTATTTGTATTGTTTATTGTTTCGAGCTTAGCCGAAATAGCTTAGATATTGTCATCAACGTTTCGTATGCGCGATGCCGGCACAGCACCTAATAAAGTAGGCTAAACATAATTTAAATCGGCTCGAATGCAAAGATATGATTTGAGATATGTATATAGAATGCGGAATGAAATAAGCAATGAATTGATGCAGATAACTTTTAATTTCAACTTTACTTTCAATGATGCAAACTGGAAATGTAAATCATGTTCGGAAGGATATATTTATAAATATATAAATAAACTTGACTGGCTGCCTCATTAAAGTTCGTTTTGCTTCAATCACATTAAATGCACGTTTATTTAATGTTAAACGAAAAGATTCGCAGGGACTTTTATTGGTAATCAAGTGACTCAAGTGCCAGCTTAAATTCGCTTTAAAACCTTATCGCTTACGCACATTTCTTTTATAACCCTTCAAGCACTTGGAGACCGGCCGCCTTGTGAATTAACGCGTTCGAACAATGAAAAACAACTGAACGTGTCAAATTCAAGCTGAAATACTTGAGACCTATTGACAATATTATCTTTATCTTTATCTTAGTACAGAGTAATTCCCGGGCATAGATTAAAGCACAGTTGCAAGCAATAACAATCCGATAAGATGTACACATTAACACACACATTTATAAAACACCAGCAGTATAAATCTCAAGATATCAGTTAAGACAACACAATTGGTAACAAAGGCGTTCGTATACTAGCTATAAATCTATATAACCAAACGAATTTCAGTCTCTAGTGACCAAATAAAAAATATGTATTTACATATGTATGCGAGTGCAATTAAGAATGAAATTGTCAGACTCGCTTTAAAATAAAACCATTTGCGCTCTTGTTTAGTATGTACACAAACCGCTGAAAACGATTTTACACCGCAGCCGCAAAGTATGCAACCAAAAAGGTAAAAGGTGTGAAATACCCTTTTCCGAATTATATAAAACGTTTTGTACATAATCTATGAATTATTTATTTTAATGTTTTATATTTCACTCCGTAAATTATATATCTGCTGTTGGCCTTAACAATTATCCAATATTCCAATAATTGTTCCAAACAATTGTTGGCCTGATTGGGTTTTTTATGCTTTTCGCCAAATGTTGCAATAAATGTTGGACAATTTTACTGATTTATTTTATTTATTATATTATTTATTTGTTATCTTTTAATTTCAATATTCACTTACATTTTATATTTTAATTTGTAACTATAATTTTAATAATAATTAAATTTTTATTTATTTTTTTAAATCTCTTTTAAAAATTGCGATATGTTCTTTAGTTCACATCAAATATTTAAATAAATAATTAAAAGAAACCGAGTTTTTTCCACTGCCGCTTAAGCAAAGTAAAGCAAATCTCTACTCTACAGTATAGGGTATTAAAAGTAAAAGTGCAAATGTAAATGCAGTGAGTGGTAAAGAAAAATATAAGGATGAGGATGAAAAATACAGAAAAATGTTGTTGACAAACTACAATTTCCAATACGACAAGCGGCGGGAACTACAAGAGATGGACGAGAGTACATGGCTGGTTGCGGTTTGGTCTGGTTTCTGTGCAGCTCGATAAGGACAAGTAAGTGTAGTGAATAATTTAAAATTGGTTGTCAACTCGTCGCTTAATGTGATGTGTGCAGTGAATAGCAGAAACCTTGTATTACAAGAGTGGGAATAAGTTAAATTGCCCGTTGACAGCAGAATTGAGATGCCAATTTGTCAGCGATACGGCAATTTGTCATATATGAGATTTGTCAGGCAAACGCCTGAGGTTCCATTTTGGCAGTTGGAACACTGTCAAGGCAAAGTTTAAGCAACTAGAATTATCTAACGATTGATAAACAAACACAACTAATTAGTGTTCTATTTTTTATTGAAAATTCTCTGAAAATATATTAACATAAAAGGAAATGTGTGAGTTATAAATAAACTTTAAATATTTGTATGTAGCAAAAAGGTTTTAATAATATATTTAATTTTGTATTTCTTAAACTAAATACGCAGCATGTTGAATATAATTTATTTTTGCTTATTGATTAAATATTTTCACTTATAAGAACAGTTTTCCATAATTACTGTCAAGAATGTGCCACAATTTTCTGATTGTGCAAACTGAGGCCGCAGGCCTTCATCATCAGTCGAACGGTTCACAGTGTCTACATTAATCATGCGGATAAGTGAGAACTAAATAAGAAATGATTGATTACTTAAGCGGCGATAATCAACTCACTACATAACAGAAATGAGGGGAAGGCTCTTAATATAATATATATATATATTTTAAAGGTTAGTTGCGCCAAACAATTGCCAACTTCAGTAATTGTTAAAAAGTTAGGCTTACGCTTATCGCGGCACTGGAAAATGCACACGGAATGGTTCAGGTTCAGCTGCGGGGCATAAAATGCAAATAGAATGAGGCGCTGTTGAAATAAAAAATCATAGCCCCAAATACGGCAAACAGGAAACTTTTTAATGCAAATACGAAAATCGCATGAAAACATGAAAACGTGGTCCAGTCAACGAGGCGACCGGCAATTGCGCGGCTGCAGCTGACAACAGGAAGTGAAGGGACGACAAAATGGCAAGGAATGGGATGGATGGTAGTGTTGCATGCTGCATAATTTCACAGTCGTTGAATGTGGCGAAAAGTTAACGTAAAGTGCTGTTTTTTTTTTTAATATTTTTTTTATTTGTTTTTTATTTTTTTATTAAGTTGCATAACAGTTTAAAGCGCTTGGTGCAGCTGAGGCTCTAAGGCGTGCAAGATGCAGAAATTTAAGGCAAATTATTAACGCTTTGAATATCGGTGCCAGGCGAGCTCCAGCAGCAGCAAGATCAGCACCAGAATGTAGCCACAGATCAGTATGAAGAAGAGCGGAGCCACGTACTCCATGCCAACGGTAATGACAAAGCTATCCGAAAAGCAATGCAACTTCATGTGGGCCCACTGACTACGATGCTTGCGATAAACACCGGTTTCCAGCACTCGTAGCATTCTGTGAAATGTAATAAATGATGGGTGCTTGTTGTGTATTGCTTAGCTAAAATGTATTTCAACTGTGTACCTCAAGCGAATGAGTTCCTTGTAGGTGGAATTGCGTTGCAGCAGCGTGTAAGCCAACAGCTCGGGTCGAAACAGTATTTCATTGAGATCACAGATCTCCTGCTGTGTATAGTGGCGCTCCACATATGCATAACCAGCCGATGTCTCAAAGATGTAAACATATCCGGGATTATCACGAACACGCAGAATGCCCTCCTCAGTGGGCAACCAGAGATCCTTATTGTTAGCCTGTGTGTTGACTTTGCGCTTTTTAAACAGAGCAATATCTGCACGTAACGAGTACTGTGAATAAATGCATTTTACCTATATTAATAAAGCAGTTTTGATTGACTGCTAGACTGACTTTTACCTATGCTAAGATTCAAATCAAATTAAGAAAACCAATACACTTACAACCTTTTTTCGTATTTGAATAAAATCAATTTGGAAATTTTAATATTTTAAATTTTATACCTTTAAATTCAATAAAAATGTTAAGCTTTTAAATTTCCGAATTTAAATTTTGTGTGGTATGTACAAGCCTACATTTAATAATAAATAAATATATAATAATAATAGCAAAAATAAAGGTAAAAATAATTATAATATTATAATATTAATAATAATAATAATGCGCAGACATTATTCTCCATTAGCAACTTATGTTTTTTGAAATTGGTGAAAATCCATTTTATCAATATTTATTTAAAGTAAGTTATTTAAAATGTGGACAACAGTTTACACTCACGTTTAGATAGCTCTTGGTAAAGGAAAGGGGTTCCAAGCCAACTGTCAGCGAACTCTCAGCAAGCTGCTGCATGGTTTTGATATCCGATTTGACTGGTGAACTCAGCAGCGAGGACACCACCACAGATGTGTAATAGTTGTACATAATAAAGGTAGTCAAAAGTAGTATTAAATACGCCAGACGTCCGCCCATGGAGCGTGGAACTAGCTGCGAGCTTTGAATGCAGGCCGCACCAAAGCTGTATAATAAGGTTGTCAGCAGCGAGGGCACAAAGCTGAGACGCCAACTTCGCCGCATGCGCTTGCACTCCATGTAGAAGGTCAGCCAAAGGAACATGCCAATCATCAGCAGAATGCCGCCAAAGAAATACCACACCAGAGCACTAAATGGCCGGATGAAAACATCGCTGCGTATGCCGGCGTTGTGGGGTGTGCGAAAGAGGCAAATGGAACGAAAGTAACCCGACTCAATGATTGCCGTTATGTGTGTCTTCAGTCGGACCGAAGTTGCCAATCCAGGCGCGGACATAATGTCGGCTGACCGATTCGCCAGAGCACCAACAGCACCGCCATAAATCTCGGTGATGCTCCAACTATTGTGGAATGTAAAATTCATGCTGGCAGAAAAAAAACTTTGATTCAAACGAGTATAGCCCCAAATACGAATCGATGCGGCTTGGCTTGGCTTGGCCAAATAAAGAAATTACTATTATCTTTAGCGCTTACCCGCACTGCAACATATCCTTGAGTATTTGGCACATTCGAAAACCAAGGCGTGCTATTCCATCGACGAGGGTGTTGTTGTCCTGTGTCAAATATCGGAGCAGCTGCTCCTTCGGCCAGTCAATGGGTCGCGATATCGTCACAGTCGCCACACGCAGCACCACATCCGTTAGCTGCTCTCGATGGCGATATTTGGAGCGCAAGTGAAGCGAGCTGAGATGGCGACTCAAATTACAGTTACTTTGATTGCAGCTGACTTCATAGTTGCCGGTTATATTGAGCTGGCCGCCCTGCATTTTGCCATTGTTGTAAACATCGTAGTTTCTGTAGAAGACAGCTCCATCGCCTCTATTGTCTGCCATTTGCTGCTCAACATAACTAACGTCAGCATCTACGGATATGTTCATCGGTTCGAAGAAATCATAAAAGTTGAAGACCTCCGAGCTGTCGTGCAGAAGCCAATGATAATGCTGATTAAAGAGCTCCGTGCGACTCGCCTGAAAGCAGACAAATAAACTAGGTGTTAAGTACATGTTTATATGATGGCAGTGAGTTATGTCTATGCAAGAATATTGAATTAATATTTGACAAATGTGATCAATTCACCAAAAATTGGGGTTGATTTATCTGACAACTCGGCTACTGATGCTGATGAAGCATATATGTAATTCATGGATCTCTATCTGCAAGAGTTTAAAAAATTACTCACTTCTGCCAATAAATGTCTGGCACGCATACATTTCAAGTCCACATAAATGGCCAGCGTGGGCTGCATATGATCCAAATAACGCTCCTCAAATTGGCCCCAGGTCCATTGATTCAAATGCACAAATTGATGATAGATGAGTTGATGATGATGATTGTAGATTTGTTGGGCAAATTGAAAAGCTGCGGAGTATTCAGTAATTTATTAAATTATTACAGGTATTAGTAAATTTTTAAATTTGCCGGAATCGAACGCACTTTCATTTCTAGCCCAGCAATGAAAGAACACTATGAAACTGATGCGAGATTGCAATAAATTGTGCAACACGAAGTTGGCCAATTGTATAAGTGCATTTTGTTAAGTCAATAGACTTCAGTCTTGGATAGCTCTTTTATAGACGCTGCAGGGCCAATTTAACTGTCATCTGCCGATTGTCAACTGTCAATTTGTTTGTTTAAATTGCACAATTTCAAATATATGATTGGCGATTAGAAGCACTTGCCTTAATGACGTGCAGCGCTTAGCTGTCGTCGGTGCCACAATATTTCCAAGCCCAAAACAAATAGACACATTGTATAGGCAAAGATTAGCAGTAGAAACAGTGGTCCTGCCGAATCCATGCCCACAACAACGGTTCTGTTGCTCTGATAACAATGCAACTTGCTGTGTATCCAATAGCGATAGTATTTCGCATGTACTCCAGTCTCCATCATTCGCAGAAAACTGTAAATTATTTCAACATTTGCGTTCATATTAATGATATGCATGACTTACTTAAGTTTTAGAACCTCCGCATAGCTGGAATTTTTTACGACCATTGTGTGAGCGGCAGTCTCTTGACGCAGAAGAATCTCATTTAGTTCACAGATCTCATGAGGCAGATAATGTTTCCTCACAAACCCATAAGCGCCAGCTGCATCCGCAATGAAAACAAAGCCGGGCTTATTCCGCACCATCAGGACACCCTCCTCCGCAGGCAACCAAATGCGTTGTGGTTCTCTCTTGCTGTTCACAATTTTGTTGATATACAAACTTCGCACATCGGGATAATCAGAGGTCTGTCATATATATATAGTTAGATGATTAGAATTGAAGTTTGTGCTAACTTAGTGGGCATTGTTAAGGCTAATCGGAAAATAACTAAATATGTATGTAATAATGCAAATTTAGTAACAATGACATAATTAAAAAATTAATTAATTAATTAAATAGATATATATAATAACATGTTTAACTAAATGTTTAATGCTTAAAACATTCAGAGATGAAATTAAAATAGTTGTAAGATTATTACGATCTGAAGTATGTTTTTAAAACTAAAAAAAACTTCTACTAGTACAATATTTAAGGACCTACCTCTACATAGACTTTTGTATATATTATTGCCTCGACGGACACCTCGAGATTGCTATCTGCGAGTTGTTGGATGGTTCGAATGTTCGATTTGGGCACTGCATCCAGCAGGCTGGATACCACAATTGATGTATAATAATTATATATCAGAAAACAGCTCAACATAATGGCGTAGAATACCATACGACCGCCGGTGGAGTTCGGCAATATCCAGGCGCCTTGAATGCATGCGGCCCCAAAGGACAGAAGGCAGCTGGTCAGCAACGACGGCGTCATGCTGACATGCCCAAATCTGCCCTCCAGTCGAAATGTCAGCCAGAGCAGAAATCCAGCCAACAGCAGCAGGCTGCCGAAAATTAACCAAACCGTCCAACTGAATGGCTTCAGGAACTCCCCTATGTGAAGCTCGCTGGCGGCCGCCGTGGGATTGAGAAACATGCAAATGGAGCGAAAGGAGCAATACCAAGACAAGATCTTTAAGTATTTTGCACGTCCGCTTGTGTAGAGGAAACCGGTCGCAGCTATATCGACGGTGTTATTGCGCATATCCCCAATAAGGCCTCCTGTTACTTCCGAATCCGTCCAGCGGTCGCGAAAGATGAACTTAAAGCTGTCGAGCGTCATAAGGGCTAAGATTAACTTTCTTCAAAATAAACATAATTTTATTTGTGTGCTCCTACTTGCAATCCAGCATATCCCTAAGTATCCGATACGTTTGGTAGCCAAACCTGGCAAAAGTATCTTTATGTATATCGTCCTCACGGCTTAGAAACTCCGTAATCTGCGTTTCTGGTGTGCTAATCGGTAAGGCGGTGATCTGTAAATAAAATGAGTGAACATGAGAAAGTATCCATAAAAAATAGAGATGTGATCAGAATAACAGCAATGCACAAATATGTTTAGGACAACTTATGAAAACCCCTATGAAATATTCAAAGCACTTTTTTAACACACACATACTGAAGAAAAATAAATATTGTCTATAACATAATTAATCAACCAAATTAAGGGATTAAAAATTATTAAAAATGAGCCAGTAAATATAATAGCAGTGAGGCTTTGTTAGCTTTCCCTTTTCTAAAAACTTGATATGATGTGCTGAATGTGTTACTCCGATTAGGATTTGGTTGCAGAACAGTCGTTGGAAATAACCGAAACACAGAGTTAGTGTATGGAGACCATAAAGTTTTGGCCTATTTCTAGAGAAAATTATCTCAATCGAAACACAATTTTCAACGTCTCACTAATAATTCTCAATCGGGTTGAGATTAAAAGACAGAACCGGCCTTTCCATATCCATGATTCGCTTGGTTTCCAACCATTCTAAAGAGACTCCTTTTCTTGGTTTTTTGTACTTCTGGTACTTCTGGTATGCCAACATTTTAAGCACTTAATTTTTATTAATACTAGTAGCAGGCAACCCAGGCAAACTATGACCCACCACCCGAACCCACCCAACGAGGGACGTGCCGCACAACTTGCGGTGACGAATATCGCGAATTGCTAGACAGATAACATAACACAACAATTTTAATAGAAGAAAAAGAAGAAGTACAACTTATTAATGGAAAGAAGACATAAATTGGCATTTATCACAATTTAGCAGACGGAAGGTCATTTGTAGGCAACTTGAATAACAAGGGGCCAAGGTGACTGCCTTACGGTACTCAGGAAGTTACTTGAACAGTCCTAGTTACAGCGCCTCTAAAATAAACTTTCTGTTTTCTAAGAGTTAAATATTTTGAGATCCAACTAATTAGGTAATTCGGAAACCCCAGATATTAAGTTTGTGAATTAGCAAAGGATTTACAGAGTCAAGAGTCTTACTCAAGTCAGTGTAAATAATATCCGATTACATTTTGTTAACAACAATTGAAGTCAATTATAAAATGGTCAACAGATATTTTTGGGCATGTCCACAGAAAATGCTTGAGCTTATTAACTATATAGCTAAAGTTGGAAAAAATTCACCAGATGACTTTTTACACAACTTTTTGTTTTCCGAGATTTTCGAATATCTAAACGAAACAAAAAGCAATTTTCAAAATACAAAAAATTAAAAAAAGTGTACTAACTTCTTCAACTAGCTTCAATTTGAACAATCGGTTGCCAACAGAGTTGTTGTTAAATAAATATTTGAAAAGCGGACTCAGGTTTGCCAGGGTGTGTAATCTTTGCCATATTATTAGCCTCTATTAAACTTACCACTGCATTTATTCTAAAAGTGAAGCCAGTAAGAAATTTACGATGTTGTAGTCGACTTCGCTTATGAAGATCACTCAGAAAACGATACACTCGACATTCTTTCTCATCGCAGTTAATTTGCTGATCAATTGTGATATTGAGTTTGCCACCCAAATGTTTTGCCTTGTTGTATAAATCATAGAGTATGAAACTGGTCAGTTTTGAATTGGGCCTGGCATAGGTCAGCTCGGTATTCATATAAAGTTGGGCTTCTGCAAACCGATGTTGCAGCAGTGTGGAGTTCTCATCCTGATCATAGATAAGCCAGTGAAAGCGATCAATGAAGAGGCGTTCGTCATTAGCCTGCAAGTGAAAGTAAAGTTCAGTTGATATAAGACATATCTCTATAAATTTAATTCGCCTTACAATATTCAAAACTTCATCACTCTGAGCACAATTGATGTCCATGAAAATGCCGAGCTTGACGAGATTGTGATTGATCAGTTGACCTTGCAAGTGCTCTAAAAGACGATATGTCCCATTTAAGTTTAAATATTGCGTGAACCGTGATTCTTTGCCAGCGATATGTGCAAAGCGAAGCAGTGCTGTAAAGAAAGAAAATGAATAATTCCATTAATTAAGATTGCGAAAAAAGTTCAGACCCTTATCAACTCACAATCTGCTGTCCAACAATGCAACAAAAGTATGTTATTTAACTTTGCAATATGCACAAAATAATATATTATAAATTGGTAAAGAAACATGTTGCTAGAGACAAACAATTAAACACTAGTTAATCTAATGACACAATTGCTGAGAATTCCGTGCTTTTATATGAGTTCAACAAGATGCATAATAAAATACATACAGCGGTGTTCGTGAAAATAGTACTGCCCTACAAAAATCCGAAATTATATTTTAGCGCGAAATTTATTAAAATAATAATTTAATTAGCCATTTTGAGAAAATATCTTCTTTTTTTGTGGTTATATTTGAGGTTTGAATGCTTTGGGCTGTGGCACACCTATTTTCATGGACACAACTGTGTAAATAGACATATATCCATGCATACATTATAAATATCAATCACTTTCTCGTACAACCACAATTGACATATCAATGGACATACTGACAGGTAAGTGAAAACCTGTCAAAAGGATTTTCGAATTGTGACTTCAACTAATTGACCAATTATTGGCTCGTAAGGGTCTGCCTTGTGCGGTGTTTAAGAATTTACTTACCTAACTTAATATTTATGCTTTTTACTTTGCATTCGTCTTACTTCATAATGTTTAAATGCCGCCTGCTCAATCGAGCCCAGCTTATTTCGAGCATTAAAATGAACAATGACACGAAATAGGCGATAAGCAGAGCTATAAAAAGGGGCGCGGCATATTCCATGCCCACACTGATGACATAATTGCTTTCGTAACAGTACAGTTTGCTCTTGCTATAGAAGAGCTTATGCTTCTGCGTAATACCGGTCTCCAACAGGCGCACCTGTGTCTGCTTCAATAGCTCCCTGTACGTGGAGTTAATGTGCACAATTGTGTTGAGTGAGTTTTCCGAACGGAACATGATCTCATTCAGTTCGCATATCTCATGGGGCCGATAATATTTCTCCACAAAGCTATAGAAATATGAAGCCTCTGAGACGAAAACGAAACCGGGCTGATCGCGTACTTTAATCACACCTTCCTCGGCGGTCGTAAAGACGTTGATGGGATTACGCCCATCCACTTTGCGCTTAACTAGCTGCCGTATGTCGGAACGTGGAGAGTTCTGCAAAAGGAAATACTTGGCTTGGTGTCTTTCATTGATTTTCATTGAACTCACATTTAAATAAGCTGTTACAAAGGGTATTGCTTCAAAGCTCACATCCAATGGGCTGTCGGCCAGCTGTTGTATGGATTTAATATCGGAACGAACGGGTGAACCCAATAGAGTGGATACCACAATCGATGTGTAATAGTTATACATGATAAATGAGGTCAACATGAGTGCTATGAAAACCAGACGTCCGCCAATCGAGTTCGGTACTAGATGAGAGCCCTGAATGCAGGCAGCGCCAAAACTCATAAGGCAGGTGGTCAGAAGCGAGGGTATATACTTGAGACAGCTTCGCATCCAGCGACGCTCCAATCGAAACGTTAGCCCAAGCAACAGGCCACAGATTATAAGTAAAGCCCCAAAGACCAGCCAAACATTTGCCTCGAAGGGTTCCAGAAACACAGCAGAATTCATCCCAGAATTGTGTGGCGTGCGAAAGATGCAAATGGAGCGAAACTCGCTAATCTCCGTCGTCGAAAAGACGTTCCTTATTCGAGCAGGTGATAGAACAAACGGTGTTGTCGACAAGTCGGCTTTTTGGTTGACCATTTCGCCCATCGCACCGCCTTTGATATCATAGATGCTCCACAGATTCCGCCAAATGTGAGTCACACTGGAATGCGTGAGCAATTACATTAGGTCTTATTAAATGACATTTAAACTTACTTGAACCTCAGCATCTCCTGCAAGAGTAAATTATTGCGGTAACCCATACGAGACATCCAATCCAAGTGAACGGATTCTTCACTATTCAAAAATGCCAGCATCTTATCCTCGCTTGCATTCAGGGGCACATAAGTGATCTACAAAGGCAATACGAATATATGAAATTTAATAATATTAACAAAAATTGAACAAATCATTTGCGAAAAGTTGATAAAATTCTACGCTTACATTCCATTGATAGGCACGAGTCTAAATGTTTTATTGTTGCTCCTTTGAATTATTAATTGATTTTAAATTAACAAATAAAATTTCATATTAAAATAATTTAATTTTATCATTTTCACTGAAACTTCCCGTCTGTAACTCAAGTCAGAACTAAGGAAACGAATGCCGAAAACAATTGTGTATTGAGCCTTTTCGATTCTGACTCAATCAGTTGTATAAATTGAGTTTTTTTTTGGAAATGTACAGTTTATTTGACAAATTATGAATCAACGATAGTTCAAGTTTAGTTAAAATCTAACTAACTTTCGAGAATATATTCAAAGCAGAGCTTCATAAGGCAGACTGCATTTTGGTACAACTGGCTAATAGCAATATTGGTCACAAAGAATACTTGGAAAAAACTCTGGGACACAGCGCATATTAGACTTACCTTAAGTTTATATTAAAATAATAGTCTTTAGGCTAAAAATAGCAGACCTACCACTGTAACCTGTTTGAAGATAATTCCACTTAAATTGTTGCGATGTTTCAGCTTAGTTCTCTTGTGGAGATCACTCAGATATTGTTGGACCTCACAAATGGTCTGATTACAGTAGATACTTTGATCAATGGTTATGTTAAGTATGCCACCCAGATGGCTACCCTTGTTATAGATATCATAGAGTGTAAACAGACTATCTGTCTTCGACCTTTTTTCTGGCTGTTGTGTTACAAAGGTGACATCTGCGCTGATGCTAAGATTAGCTCCTTGAAAAAGTTCAACTAATCGATCCATGTTGCCAGTTTCATCGAAGAGTAGCCAGTGAAAGTGATGTGTGTACAGAAGCGATTGACTGGACTGTAAATTGCGGAGTATTATTATAATTGGCACAAGGAATGCAGCCTACTTAAAAATTTACCTGATTAGTTATTAAGTGGCTCTGATCGCAATTCACGTCCAAAAAGACGCCAAGTTTGGTTAGTTCAATGTCCAAATAATCCTTTTGCAAATTAGCTAAGGACTCATTAGCCCGTTTAATGTTTATGTATTGACAAAATATGTAGTTACGAGAGAACAGCTCTGTCAATAGCAGTAGATCTGTGTACAACAATTATAATTAGTGATTGTAGAGTATGAAATATGGGTATCCTTTCTTTGTAATTTAAAAAAGGGGGTGCGTAACAGTGTTGCCAAATAATCGGCAAAAGACTTTGTTAACAACAACAGAAAAGTAATTCGATTATTTAAAGTTTTTGCTTGCAGAACTGCGTCCATTTGCTCACATCTAAATTAAATTATTAATCTATAATACGTTTTGTGTTTTAAATATTGTTTAAAAATTGTGTTTTGGTGGATAAAAAATTTGTTCATATAAAAACTCATATTTTATATGACAGCTGTATTTACAGTGATACATTCCAAGCTTCATAAATATATTGAGAGTCTAGTTTTCTAATAATAGATATTGTCAATCAAATTGTCAACATAAAATTTGCATATCTGCAATGGATGTTTGTTTGTGGCGTGCGAACATAATTATATAAAAGTTTAACTCTAATCGCACAAATCACGAACGATTTATTTGTATTTGTTGCACATCTATTTCGCAATACAAAATAAGTTGTCATCAAATAAAGAGGAAGAGAAATGTAAAGATAACTCATAGACTTTCCACACTTCACAATAGTTAAGTGTAATTCTTAAATATGAAAAACATTTTAATTCTTTGAACCAAAAAACCAACACAGTTTTTATGTGTTTCACCACCAGGAAGCGGAAGTAATCTAATGGAAACATCAGCAAAATGGCAAGACTGATGCGCATTATTATTCATTTGATTTCTTGCTCTACTTAACTGTACCTGGCTGCTGCCTACAATGAAAAACGACCACATTTCTTAAATTTATCTGCAACAAGTTGTACACAATGAAATTGTATAATGCTAGATTAGCCATTTTGAACTTGACTGCAGAAATCATGCAGTTCACAATCCCTTTTATAGCTGGGCGAACTCAAATTTTGGTTAGCCAAATTATGCAATTAAGTTATTAGTCTAAAATTGCAGCTGTCATCAAAATTTGTAACGTGATTGACGTTTTGACTGCACACAATTTAGCCAAATTTTATGGAACAGCAACAGGTTGAAATCTTGGCGCGTCATAACAAAAAGCACATGGCCTGAACAGAGTACGCAACGCGCCTGCGCAGAAGCTCAAACGTAAACAAGCCCAAGTCACATTTATGAATGAATCAGCCGTCGTTCCCCTCATCGGGCAGTGTTAATGGATTTCTGCTATGACTTAGCCTGCTATGCTGCTGGCAGGGCGTCACTGATTTTGCGCCTTCTGCATGTCCGCCCAACCACCTCGCTCTCTGAATGTGTGAGTGTGTGTGTGTGTGTGGGTGTGTGAGTGTGTGTGTGTGTGTGTGCGTACGTGTGTTTTATGTTGTCGGCATGTTCCCAGTTGCACAATTGAATCTTGGCCAACGGTTAGGACTTAATGTCGTTTCAGTTGGCGTTGCGCGCTTGGCGCGTCTCGACGTATTTCTCGAAACCAAATTTTCTAAGCGGGCAGCGCATTTAGCACTCGTTTTTTATTTCCATTTCCATTTCGATTCCAATATCTGTTTGCTTGCTTGTTTGTTACTATTGTTATTATTGTGGCTGAATTTTTTGGCCGGCGGCGATGGAAAAAATATCTGTTTGTTGTGTTTGGTTATTAGAAGTGGACTTGTAAAAACGACAGCAGCGATTGATTGAGGAAAAATAATTGGAAAATGCTAAAAATAGTTTGAATTCCATCTTAACAAATCGAATTCAAGTGCTGAAGGTTAATTGAATTAAGGCTAACCAAATAAAATTAATATATTACACGTAATATAGCCTTGAGTGGTATTCTTAATTATTGCGAACTGTGCTTGCTGTGTATATATAATAATAACATATTAACTGCATAAGAAAAACATAAATTTAGCTGCAAATAATGAGAACAATTATCAAATATGAAACATTGCTTAACTCTTAGTGGCTTAACTCTAATTAATAAAATGGCTTAAGAGAATTGAAAGTTTTTTTTTAATTTGTAAACATTTAATATATATATATATAAATATATACGTATAAAATCTGTGCTTATGAAAGACAGTCAAAAATATGAAATTTTAATACACTTATCTAAATTAACTCATCAGCAATATACAATTTTTTTGTGAGCCAATTAAACTGTCGAAATCAGCAACCGCATAAGCTGCTAATTTAAAATTTAAGACTATTGACTCGCTCATCAAATGGGAACAGTCCAATTAAAATTATTTACGACACTAAAAAGCCCAACGTACAAAAAATCAATTGATCTGCGGTCGACCCGCACATGAACTAAATAATAAATGCAAATACCACAAATGTGACAAGCATTAAGTAAAGGACAAACAAAATCGAATTATCACAGAATATGAATGGCACATTAGAGAATTATAAATCTGAAAGAAAAAAACAAACAAATCAGTAAATTCGTTCGAAATATGCTGCAAATAAAACCACCAGCGATTTTGGTCAACCGAGCAAATCATTAACAAAACTATTAACTTTACCAAAGGGATTTTGGCCAACTGCAATTTAGGGTTAGTTAGGGGAAGTAGCTTATGTTATTTATGAGTGTGATAAAGTAAAAATGTATTTCAATGCAAATTAGTGCATAAGGAATAACTTTAAGGGGTCTGCCACAAAGTGCAAGTAGTGAATATAAAAATGTTTCAAGTATGGGCTTTCAAATGTATCTACATTGAGTTTAAATATCCTATCGCATTGCATTCTGACAACATCAGCGCTTCGGGTATTCTCATCTTTCACAAACTCTCAGCTTTCATTTTATTTATTTACCTTTTTTGTTACAGACAGACAACGCTTCGCGTTGCAATATAGACGAATACAAAGCAGATACGAGCTTAAAATAGATAAAAAAATAAAAAAAAACAGCTGGGCATCGCACTCTTGAGATTTACATTGTATAGTGATGCGTTTATTTGTGTCCAAAAAGAACACCTACTTACATACATACAAGCTGCATTTGAATGTATGTATTCTATGGTACGATATAGCGGCCCAGCAAAAACTGCATCTAAATTAATTGAATTTAGAGATTTTTTTGTTGGGTTCGTGGGCTGCCTGCTGCCGGCCCATCTTCTGACTACACCCTGTGGCCTATTGCTTTTATTGAATTGGTTTTGGGATTTGGTAGTTGAGCCGCAAGTCAAGTCGGAGTCCCAGCCACATCAAGCTTACTTAAGGGTCACCTCTCCATTTCCTATGCATTTTGAGTGTCATTATGTTGTGGGCCCCAGCATTCTCTTTTCTCCTGCATGCATCTCTTTTTGCGTCTTCTTTTATCTGCATTTGGATTCATTAAAATTGCACGTGGACTAAAATGTTTTTGTTTACATTTGGAATGCGTTTTTGCCCTTACTTGTAGTAAACTGAATGCCGCCCAAATATATATGAAGCATATCCCTTTTGTGTAGCTATTTATTTGTCATATGTTACAAATACAAGAAGTGTGTAGGATGTATGATTTTTTATAAACTCACTTAATGCACACAATTGAGTCAATTTCAATCAAACTTTCGACACCAGTCTAACTAATTTGCTCGAAACTTTGCACATATAAAATCAGTTTTTAGAAAAAGACTAAAACAACCCATTTGTGTTTTCTTCTGTTTATTATAATTTTTTAAGCTGCTCATTAAATAACAGAAAAATTATTAAACATAAGTAAAAACTGTCAATCTAGAAATAAGTGTTGAAGAGTATTGTGAAGAAACTGATTTAATAATTTCTATACTTTACAGATATATTCTTATAACATATATTTTTACAGTAATCATTTCGAAGCATTCAACCATGTACCATGTATTTAAATTGATAGTTCGATAGAGTATAATGCTTACTTTCCTTTATAACTTAGTGTCTCCAGTACAGAGGAATGCACTTAGCTGAGACAAATGCATTTTCCTGGATTTTGCACTCTACAACTCAATTGTTAAACAGTAGAACGTGAGATTGGATCCACCGAGCAGCATGTGCTACAGTTCTAGTCTAAAATAATTACAATTGCATTACTTTACGGCTGAAAAAGACAGGCCACAGAATTGTTGTAGGGAAAAAACTGTGGCTGAAATCTCGACCTGTTTTAATTAAATTCGGATTTTAAAAGCTACTTAGTTTAACTAGAAAACTTGTGACATAACTTTTTTAATTGCGCTCTGACTGTACAATTTCATACGTAGCTTAAAAAACGACACTATATGTACGATATATATGCATATATATACTGACATTTACTTATATAAGCTGCTTGCAATTGAAATGCACAAGTCATTTGAAAACGCAGGCACAAAAAGCGTCCAAATAATGCCAGACCCAGGATTGGGTTCGGGTCTAGGTCCGGGTCCATAGAAACCACCTGCTGCACCCACACAAGCTGACAAAAACCCCCAAAGGGACATAATGCAAACAAGTTTATATGGAACAGATGGTTAGAGAAACTGGCTAGAAAAAGATGCACATGGCAAACCACAGATAAAATACCCTATGTGCACTTCGATTAGGTTCGAATATTAACTAGAAGAAAATACTTTAAAATTGTATTATAAACTTCTCAATTATTTGTTTAATTAGCGAATATATTATCTTTATCTTTATCTACATATATTATTTACAGATATAAAATATCAATTTGAAATAATTATTGAGCACTAAAGTAATGTAAAAGCTATTTATTTTGTAATAAAAATGTAATGAAATGTTTATGGAAGTAAATATATATATTTATTAACCGAATTCTATACTTAATAACAATCGCAACTATATCAAATAATTATATAGCATAGTTTATTGTTTGGTGGCCTCTTTTAATAATTTACATATGTATTTTGTATTTTTTATATTCCGATATATTTTGAGTCCGGTTGGCTGTGCAGTTTAAATCTCCGTTTCCTAAAAAAAACATGTTCATATTATATAGAGTAGCAGAACTGAATAGTTAGATATTCTTGCTAGCGTTAGTAACTCAAGATATATATATATATATATATATATATATATACCCTGCAAGGGCACATGTGCATCATACTTGCTGATAACAACAATGCAGCCGGCAGCACCGAAAAAAGGCGTAATATTCTATAGAGCCTGAGCACAGTGGCTGTGGGAGAAAAAGAATGGAACAAGTAAAGAACGGAAGCAGCCAGCGATGAGGAGAGCAGCCTTCAAAAATTGAGTGCAATTTAGACGACGTTGATGAGAAAATGCGTTGAACGTGCTCAAGTTGTGCTCTGCGTTTGTGGCCGGGCCCACATTTAACCCTTTCGCCAGTTAACAAAGGCAAAAGGCGTTGCGACGCGACGCGACAGCCAAAGCAAGAAATTAGAAGTAAAAAGCTGATGCCTCGGAAGCGGGGCTTCTTGGATGGATGGATGGCTGTTTACTGTTTGTTTGACGAAACGGCGAGCGAAAAAGAAATTGTTATTAAAATAAGGAAGTGTGTGGCTCAGATTACGGCATACAATTTATGATCATCTGAAAGCCAATAGTATAGCACAGGCTTGAGTTAGGTTCGTAGCCGACAAGTAACTAATGCATTATAATTAAAGAAACTCATGTTTCAAGTGTTCACTTTCTTAAATAAGCACAAAAAAAAACGAAAAAAAAAATAAAAAAGGATCTTGATTGTGGATTTTCAAAGTTATTCCATAATTACTACGGGTTTCATAAGTAATAAGTAAGAGATTAAACATGATAGTTAATTAGAAATTGGTTGAAGGCCAAATAAAAATAACAAGAAAGGTGCAAATTAAAGATTGATAAACTTTTTAATTGCTATAGTTATATACATTGCCCAGTGATAAATAAATAAAATACTCTCGCAGAAAGAGTTTTTTGCTTTCAAATATATTTAATTTGTTTTAATGAGACCACACAATTAAATGAAGTTAATGTTTTTTTAATATTATTTTTTACACTATTCATTAAGCAAAATTCTCTCTCAGCCAGAGTCTTAAATTTTTAAATATATTTCATTTATTTTAATAAAATTCCACATAATATCAAGCTCTTAGAAGACTAAATTTTGTTTCTAATATTTTAAGTTTTGTAAATTTAATTATGTCTTCAATGAATTTTAAATTTATTTAATTCACGCTGCGGTTAAAAGTGGCTTAAGAAAATGAGACATGTGACAACTGAACATAATGCATATATCCCTGCTGATTTAAAGACCTCATAAGCTGACTTAAACTCAGCCACATACCCAATTAGCAAACACAGCGACTAATCAAGTGCCAAGTAGCATTGAGGAACAATGATGAGATGAGATGCATTGGCTGAGATGCTATCGGATGTCCCGACTTGCAGGCAAGGTGCACCCAACGGAACCCCACTTAGTATTGATAATAGTTAGTGTCACCCGATGCCACCTCAGACACACACACCCCCACACACACACACACAAAGGCACACTCACACAATTAGGTTAGTGGGTGAGACGTATAATCAACTTATGGGTCGCATTGTATTTTGCATAATTAGATGGCTTGCCATCGCCTTGACGGCTTCGAACTGACCAAGTATGAGGACTTATTTAAGGACAGACTTTCTTATGCAATGCTTGCCACCACGGCTGGTTACCTGATTGCCTGCCTGCCTGCCTCTCTGCCTGATGGCACTTGATTTTTCATTAACGACTTGTGGTCCGGGCTGGTTGGGTTATTCGACTGCATTGCGCTCGTGTTGATTCCATTTAATAACTCGCCATCAGTAAGTTTAAGGTTTGACAAGATTAATACGTAAATATTATTTATAAAAAATATGTTTGTGTGTACACTTAACGTGAGCTTTGTGTGCATTAATCTTGCTCGTTTCCCAAATGTGCAGTTTAAAAATGCAAATTACACATACGCCGCGTGTGCGTGCGAATCACTTGAAAATAAAGCAAAAGGTAAATGAAAGATAAAGTGTACAGATTTTTATAAATCAACTAGGAAGAATGCAAATCGAAGTTACCACTTGAACAAAAAACTAGTTAAACTGCCAACAGCCAACTAATTTCTTAACTCTTGGCTAATTGTCCAATCAAATCTGTTAATAATCAAACTGCCAACAGCAGTCGACAGTGACCAGTTCAAACAATTAAAATCATAAAACTCATCCGAAAAGCGGGCAAAGTGCACTGAAATACACAAGGACAAAAGATTGACGACGAGATAAACGGAACTAATGCGAGTCAAGAAAGTGGATGAGCTTAAGAAATTAGGAAAAAGTCTCGGAATGCAGCCAGTGGCAAGTGCAACTTCCGGTGCATAAATGAAAATAAACAGCACTGGCAAACAAACCAGAAAACGAGAACTGTCAGCAGCAGTAGATGGTCAGCCTGTTTACTGGCTCGAGCGGCAAATGTTTGGGAAACGGATGTGTAGATTAGGCCAGAACTGTTGTTCGTCAGACGTCTAAACAATGGACTCAACAACAGCAACACAACGAACAACAACAATTACAAAATTCCGCAATATGTGCAAAAGTAACAAAGCAACAACAAGTGCGACAAGAACAACATCCGGCAGTGCGTCGGTTGACCTCATCGACAGGAGCAGCAGGAGCAGCAGGAACAGCAGGAGTTGTCATCCGTCTTTGCGGGCGCAAGGACAACACTTAAATGTGCGCATATTTAAACTTCTGATTAGCAGCTGCGCTCTAATGTGCTGCATTTATACAAATGCCTGGCAAGTGTCCATTGGCCAACTTGGTGTCATGGCCGGCAGCATCAAGGGACGCGGCGATACGCATCGCCTGGATGAGATTGCTGCCGGCTCACTGACTCGCTCCTGGCTAACGCAGAGCAATAATCATGCAAATATCTCCGAATTGCTCGACAATTTGCTGCGTGGCTATGACAATAGTATTCGACCCGATTTCGGTGGTAAGTTTCCCAAAAATATATATTCAAATAAATTGCTAAGATATGCAACAAATATGAGCCAAAAATTTCTATATGTACCAAGATATTCCACAGTTATGCAAATTACTCAGAAATAGCTATAAGATATATATATATATATATACGAGTATATATATTAGAATTATACAAACAACTTTATCTAGATCTATCTCTGAAGAAAAATATATTTAAGGTTGACGAATAATTGGCAAACTAAAATTAAGTAGATGTAGAAAGGTTTCAGAATAATTTTCTAAAACCACTTGAAAGAAATTCAAAGTCAAGGTTATATTTTTTAGAAAGGCATAGAATATTATTTATCGCTCGTTTGGTATGTTCTTTTAAATTATTGCTAAGTAAAAATACTTAAAATTTGATCTACATATTTATTTATATTAAACATATATTATTTAATAATTATATTAATTAAAAGAGATTTATTGAATAGTTTCAAATGTTTTATGCTTAATATGGGATGTAGTTTACCGATATGATTAGTTTTAGTCCATTATTAAATAAATATCTACATTAAATCAATATGTATATTATAGATTTACAGTTAAATATTAAAACTATTATCCCTACACTTTTATATAATATTAATTCTAGAATAGATCTTAGGTTTAAAAATAATATCACTAAAGTCAGTAATACTATTTTTTAATATTAATTTTTCTATGGATCTTATCTTAATGATAAATAAAACATGTTAGTAATATTACTTTCCTTAAATGATCAAATATCAAAATGGAAAAGTAATGAAATAATAAAAACTTCAAATATGTTAATAATATGTTTCAATATCTCTCTGGCAGTGTGTGAGTATTTCTCGTTGATATCCGGTCTGTGGTTCCAGTTTCGTTTATACCTTGTTGGCTGTTTACCCTTTGCTGTTGATTGATTCCTGTAATCAGCATTCAAGTACATGTGCAGATTTGCCCCTTTGGCGGAAGTGTTTAATGAAGCGGAAATCGCTGTAAGGCGAAAATCACGGCTCCACGGCGACAATAATGATGACGATTATGATGTTGATGATGTGACAGCTGCCTTGGCAAATAGTTAGTGTCAAAATCGACAAATATTTACATACAATTCGATTGCGTTTTCCGTCATTTCTCTGTTTATTTGCAGTGTACGCATTTGCCAAGCACGCCTCCCATCAGCAGCCCTGCACTGCGAATTGATAAGCTTTTTCAATTTTCCAAATGGTCTGCCCCATAAAAATTTAAATATTTTCGAAATATAAAAGCCTCCCGGCTGGCACTCAATGAAGCTTAGCGCGCATTTCCCCAACAATCCTAAAAGTTTGCGTTTACCCAACTTAAGCCCAAATTACATTGTTTTAAACACTTCATTAAGAATGGGCTCGGCCGCTAAGTGCTTCGCACTGCAATGCGATGAGCGTGCAGGATATAAGGATATGTGGCATGCAGGATGCATAACGCTTGTTTGCCAAGCTCAGCGCCAAAGTCATTAAAAACTGTTCGCATAGGCAAAAAAAGCAAACAAAAAAAAAAAAAAAACTGCACATTAGCGCAAAATACATGAGCATCGGAGGCTGATAGATGATACGAATTTGCAAGTGTAATGGCAATGGGGAGGGGCGAGGGACAACGCACTAAGGGGGTAGTCACTATGGAATGGGACTGTCTGCCAAGCGGCTTAAGTGTCATTGTTCAGAGAGACAACATTTAAATTCTGTTTCATGTGAAGGACGTCTATGAATAATTCATATGGTGGAATTATGTCGAATATGTATATATATATATATATATATAGGAATATAGACTCTACAAGGGTTTTCCATTTATTACAATTCTAAGGCGTCTGCATATTTTTTAAGGCATTTTTCAAGCACATTTCATAAAATATATAAATATTAAGGCGTGTAATAATAATAATATATTATATATATATATTCTTACCACTTTTTATCAGAAATTTTAAAAAGGGAAAGAAAATTATAATATTAAACATATATAATCAATTTTATATAGTAAAGAAGTTGGGATAATATGTGAGTCGCACTAAGTTTCTAAATTTTTTATTATTTAATTAGTCATTTAAGATTATTTTAAATATAAAAAAGTACAATATATTTTTAATTACTCGCCACCTGTCTGCTTCTGGATAATATCTAAATATACATTTGCATCACACAGTATATTATTAATAAGTAAGAGCTTATATTTAGAAAATATCCAGATTTTATAAGCCATTTAAAAGTATAATCTTTTTCATGCTGCACCTTCGATAACCTGAACAAATTTCTTTACAGGCCCACCCGCCACCATTGAGGTGGACATAATGGTGCGCAGTATGGGTCCAATATCAGAAGTGGACATGGTAAGCTATAAGAAACTAACACCATCAGCCATACATCATACACACTTCACACACACACACACATATGCATAAGAGATTTGCACACACAAAAGTCAAGAGCCAGAGCCCATTTTCCACACATTTTCCATGAGACACACATTCAAAAGGAAACTGCATTCAGCCATCAGCTCGCTTATTATGTCGTTTACAGACCTACTCGATGGACTGTTACTTTCGGCAATCCTGGGTGGATAAACGTCTCGCGTTCGAAGGTGCACAGGATACGCTGGCATTGTCAGTGTCAATGTTGGCGCGCATTTGGAAGCCGGATACGTATTTTTACAATGGCAAACAGAGCTATTTGCATACGATAACCACCCCGAATAAGTTTGTGCGCATCTATCAGAATGGCCGCGTCCTCTACTCCAGCCGGCTGACAATAAAGGCAGGCTGTCCCATGAATCTCGCGGATTTTCCCATGGATATACAGAAATGTCCGCTGAAATTTGGATCATGTGAGTGTAATAACAACAAATAAAACGAGCTGAACATTGAATATGCTAACAAGACCAATTGAGGGTCTGTGTGCTTGCATAATTATGCATAATTGGTGCTTAGAGCGCTTTGATGCGATTCGCCTTTTGTCAGCTACATGTATGTTAATGGCTTGTCCGTGGCTACCACTTGTTGCAAGAACAACAAAGCGTGTGACTGTGTGTATGTGCAGGATTCAAGCTTGGATTTATACTACACTGAATGTCATGGCATTGCATGCTTGCTGTGAGAGAGCAGGAATGGTTAAGTAAAAGGACTTTGTGTGAAGTAAAATCTGCTGGCAAAAAATGCACAGCTGGCAAAAGTGGAATAATCAAATAACAACCTAGAAAAAGTCTGACTACAAGTAGATAAAATTCTTTAGGCTTAACTAAGTCAATGCGTAATTAATCATATTTTAAAGACAACATTTATATTTATAGCCTTGCACAGAGTATTATAATACTTGACAACATTATTTATATAGAATCTTGATCATGTCCTTTTGTCTGCCTGTCTGTCCGTTTGTCTATTTCTATGTTAAGTTATCGTCAGGGTGTGGGGGAGGGCATCCCCTGCAGCTACATCTCTAATTTATATGGACGCAACGTACATTGGTTTAAAATTATAATTATTATTATTATTATATTCATATATATATTATGAAGTTGTGGAAAAGAATGTAACAATCAATCTAGCCTTGCGCGTTACGTATATCTCAGAGACTTTAAGAGTCACATATTTAAAATCATATTTCATATACCACAAGCAGATTATAAGCGATATTTCTTTTCGAGTCCAGAAAATCTATAAGAAATGTATCCAATAGAAATGTTGTCAACTAAAGCATATTTTCATATTGAACCAACTATTTAGCAGCAGTATTTCAATTGGCAAGCGACGCGACCAGAAATATATTTATGTATGAGTATTTTGAGTAATAAATAATAAAAATACGCACAAGGATTTTTTTACACAGATTTGAGTGTAAAATGCGGAATGTGGGAATAAAACTAGAATATTAATATAATAATTTAATATAATATATTATTCAATTTAATATATTTAAGAAAAGGGTTACAAAAATTAAGATGAGAGCAAGTGGACTTCCGATGGTTTTTTGTTATTTTAAATATGTTTGATTCAGTAGATTTTATCAAATTTATTTAAAACGTATCTTTATACACTATTTTGCGAATCTTTTCGTTATTACAACGCATCAGATATGCAGTTGACATTTCAATTATTTCTGCTAGGTGAACCCGTTTACAAACTCCAGACGTAAATGCATTTCCATCACAAATGAAAAGCTAACAAGGTTTTTGTCCAACATTTGAATAAAATTTGTGAATATATTTAAAGATACATGCTACGTTTGGCAACAATTTACGAACCTAGCTAACTGCTCTTATGCCTTATCGCAGACCAAAATTAACAGACGACACCTGGCAGAGTTGCTCTCGTGTATTATTGCTTCCGATTCGTAGTGAATAATGTTGCATGCAGTCAAGAATTCAATTACCCCTCAACTGCCCCCGCTTCGTTTGTCGCTGTTATTGCCTGCCACTTAATGTTGACAATTTCCCATTTGATGCGACGCGTCGCAACGTCGACTCACTGAAAATATTGCCAAAGTCAGCGAATGGCGCATAGAGAACCCAACCAAAAAAAAAAGGAATAAGGTAAACCAATCCACATCCATACATGTCGCAATGTTTGGCAATTTGTGCAGCGGGGCGACATCAACACAACAGAACACAACACAACAAAATAAAATAAAATATCTGTACGTGTGTTCATAGCAAGCATTTGCTGAGGAGAACTAGTGAAGTATTCAGCAAAAATTGGGTAAGCGAATAGCGATGAAAATATGATAAACTGTGAATGACCCAGTCACTGAGACTGATTGAGTGAGCACTCAGTAGTCACAACATTTGGAAACTTGTGATTCCTTGAATAAGCAACTAAAAGCACACAGAACTCCATTAAAAAGAGACGTCGTAATAAAAATCGGCTTAGGGGTAAATCTTGCTTGCAAGTAGGGTTTTCTATAAGCAAAATTGAGGTTCTTAATAAAGATCTTACGAAAATATAAAATAGATAATACTAAATCAAATTATTGAAAAGTACAAATTTAAATTTAAATCGAATTTAAATTTATCATTCTTTTTTTTATTAAAAATAATATTTTAATATTAATACTCGTATAAATACCTATATTAAATCATTAATTGTGTGTAATAATATTTAAGTATTAATACCTGTATTAACAACTGTATTTCTACTAACCGAAAGACGGTTTTTATCGCAGCACAAAAAGTTTATATTCCATCTATTTACCTAAAAATAATGTCAACACTGGTTAGATTATCCGTTTTAATAGTCAATATTTAGAATAAGAAATCTGACATATTGTAATCATTGTTTCCACCTTCAATTTGTGCACAGTTGGCTATACCACGTCGGATGTTATTTATCGATGGAACAAAGAGCGTCCTGCAGTGGCCATTGCGGAGGACATGAAACTGTCACAATTCGATTTGGTCGATTGTCCGGCTGGTAATATAACGGACATTGTTTACAAGGCTGCCGCTCCAATGCCGCAGCAATACAACAACAAGGACACACTGTCACCCAAACTGCCACCGAACAGCAACAACAACAAGGCGATGACAACATTCGCGGGCCCGGGGGCCAAGAATCAACATGTTCGTGGCACTGGCTTAAAGCTGGACAAGGGTGCGTTTGGTTCGGGACGCGGCATTGCCGGTGGCGGTGGTCTTGTCACGAATCTGGCGGGCAGCATCAGCTTGGAAACGCATCATCCATGTAAGCGTGTAAAATTATTATTAATGCGCTCATATTAGTGGCTCATCTAACCTGTGCTCCTCCCCATTGTAGCGGAGTACTCGATGCTGATGGTTAATTTCCATCTGCAGCGTCACATGGGCAACTTTCTGATTCAGGTCTATGGACCCTGTTGCCTGCTGGTGGTGCTCAGCTGGGTATCCTTTTGGCTGAACCGTGAGGCGACAGCAGATCGCGTTTCTCTGGGCATTACCACAGTGCTAACCATGACTTTCTTGGGGTTGGAGGCGCGCACAGATCTGCCCAAGGTGTCGTATCCCACCGCTCTAGACTTCTTTGTGTTCCTCTCGTTTGGCTTCATCTTTGCAACCATTCTGCAATTCGCCGTCGTCCATTACTTTACTAAATATGGCTCCGGGGAGTGTTATTTTATTATCGAGGAGCTTGAATCGGATTCCGGCGAATCTGAGACGGATGTTGATGCCAGCGGGCAATCGGATTTTCGTGGCAGCAGTGAGTCCAAGATCTACGAGGTCATTCCGCTATCCATGTGTGCCATCAATATGCCACCGTCCAGTGGCAGTCGTCTGGGTATGCTCCACTCCAGACGCACCACACGCAATCGTCGCCATGGACTTACACGCTTCAGTTTCTGGCGCTGCCTGGAATGGTGCAGCTGGAGTCGGCGACGGCGTCAGCCCCGCAAAGCAACCTGCTCCGATGAGGATGAGGAGGACGACGAACAGACCCAACTCCGTGCAGATGACACACCCTGCACCTCGGCAGCAGCAGCTGCGGCGGTAGCAGCAGCAGCAAAATCTGCTCAAACCCCATCGCCCGTTGGGGGACGCAGGCGGATGTCCTTCTACAGGCGAGAGGAGCTGGAGGCGCGTCGCAAAGGGAAACGGACACCACAATACAATTCCGTGTCGAAGATTGATCGAGCCTCAAGGATTGTGTTCCCACTGCTGTTCTTTCTGATCAATGTGTTCTACTGGTATGGCTATTTGTCGAGGAGCTCGCGCATTCTGGCCAATGCGCCGACGAGCACCTGATGTTACCTTTTAGCAATTTAGACACAGTCCTAAAAAGAAATCAAAACGCGTTCCACAAGGGAGAGCAGCGGCAAGGATAAACAGATGTGCGGTCTGTTTTGGATAAACTATGTAATTCAATTGAATCTTTCGTCTTCAGTTGTTATTTGCTCTTAACCTGATTTGCTTAAACAGCTATGAACGCTTTATGGGATTTCTTTTACGCGCTAAATTGCTAAACACTAAATGCAAAACTTACATATCACAGGACTACAAATTGTACATATGTATGTACATACATATATCGATATATAAGCCATAACGGTCTAGACAGTATGTATGTATAACATTTACTTAAATATTATTTGTACAGTGAGCCCTCAAGTTGACTCTTCTCTGAGCCTTTAAATGCTAAGTTATAACCAATACTATAAATGCTAATTTGAATAAGTTCTTATAACAACTATTTGTTGAGTTTGCCAAAGATCTGTAATGAAATTGTTAGAAATTTGCCGTGGCGCCATTTGAAAATGTGTTGCCAAATCGATTAAACTGGCAGCCATAAGATACGGCAAACAGTTGGTTACTAGTAAAATAAACTCAATTGAATAAACTATTGAGATTGTTAATGCACAACACACTAACATAACTTTAAGCATAATTAACATACTGATTAATGAGCATGCCAGCATTAAATGTAATAAATAATTATATGTGTATATATCTATATGCATACATATGTATCTGCATTTTTTATACAGCTCAGTCGCAAAGATAAAAAACTTTATACGATACGTAGATAAGATATATATTTGGTGCTTATGATATGGTAACATTTTGTAGTTTAGTCCGATCGCTTTATTGATATGCAACAATCCTAAATATATGGCAAAAGACTGCCTAATGTCGGTAAATAAAAGTCTGGCATGGGCAGATGGGGGTTTTCACGCAACGTTTCCAGTTGATAGCTACCCGTTCCCACCAGCAGCGATTGCAGATTACAGTTTCTGGCAAAGGTGACGTCAATTTTGCAGCTACAATGTAAAGGAATGACATGGCTAACACAGCTGAGTGACATACAAAGATTGAACATCTGCTTACCAATCCCCAATCATAAGCGTCCGAATCGGCTGCAAGACATCAGCATCGAGCAACGGTTGCAGCACTAATGGATTTGGCTTGCCCATTTCCGTAGCCATGCGCTCCGCACAAGCCTCAATGCTTGCAACAAAGGCGCCTGTGCCGGGAATACAAACGTTTGGATATTTGTGGACCGCATCCTTGTTTGTAACGAGAAAGGCGCAGTCCGGATTGCTACACAGAATGTGACAGGCTCTCGCAATTTTGCAATAGCTGAAATACTCGTCCCAGCCAACAACAACGGCGCCCACATTGGCAACAGCAGCTGCGGACTGGCCAAACTCCCTCTGCACAAACTCTTCCCACCTGTCGTCCTGTTCAAGCTTCTCCGCTTTACCCGCGCCAAAACTCTTGATGCCTGCTTCGTTCAGTTCCCTGGCAATAGCCGCATTGCCGACCACATAAACGCTGTGTCGTGTGCTGTCGAATGTCTTGAGCTGCCTCAGATAATCCACAATTGTCTGCGTTGGCGATATGATGTGCGTCTCATCGGGTAACTGGAAGTTTAGGCGTTCGGCTCGCTGTAATAATTCGTGACGCGTCTTCAGGCCATTGTTTGTAATTAGATAGACCCGTTTGCCGGCGCGCGTTTGCAATGCATTCAGCACATCAGCGGCGCCCTCAATGGCCGTGTCATCGTGCCACAGCGTAGCTGTGGTCGTAATTTATAAGTACAATTAATTTTTAAGCAATTGCAAATAGATCGCACTTTTATCTCGATAGGTAGCAATCAGCGATTAATATTGATATCGATAAACGCAACCTGTTGTCAGCACTGTCGCAGCTGGGTTCCCTTTCACACACACACACATATATATATTGATATATGTTTTCCACTTACCGTCACAGTCGCTGATAATTGTGTCAAAGCTTTGCAGCCAGCTGTTTACCTGCTCAGCCTGAAGATCTAGTATATTAATGGCGCTTGCTTTAAGCATATTTGTTATAATCACGGACTGATTGAGGAACTGCTGTCTGCTTTCGCAGTTGCTTGCGCTTCAACTGATCGCTTGTTGAGTAAGCACAAACTCATCGTGATTATTAACTGTGTGTTGCTATCTCCCTCCCGCCAAGCACTTGGCAGCTGATCTGCGCTACAATTGAAACGAAGGGTCGGGCATATCGATAGGCACGGTCAGTTTACAAAATTATTGTTGTTTTATTGTAAATTGTACTATTTAAACTTATTGCAATGCTTTTTCTTTAAAATAAATTCCCATCTATTGTTAATTTTAATGGCCTCCCTGAGCGGAATACATAAGACGAATAACATTTGAATTGTAAACTAAAATCAATTATTTTCCACCACCATTGCGTCCATAATGAATGGCAGCAGATCACCCAATTTCGGCAAATAAACATCGGGTATTAATTTCTTGTCCTCGGGATTAGTGCTATCCTGCCACTGCTGCACATCGGACAACTGATGGATGCCCGTGCCGACGAGCAGTGTCTGAAATCCGCAATTGTACCCCAGCAGCACATCCGTATTGGCACGATCCCCAATCATCAGAGTGCGCTCGGGAATTATTCTCTTCTGCTTGATGAGGAACTCACAAATGGCCGGATTTGGTTTGCCAATCACAATGGGTTCACGTTCCGCACACGTTTTGATGGCGGCCACAAAGCTGCCGCTGCCAGGCACAACCAGCGAAGGCATCGGAAACCGCTCATCGGTGTTGGTGGCGATGAACAGGCATTTGGGATCGCTTAAATACGATGCGGCTTTCGTCATTTTGGGAAAACTGAAATGCTCATCGAAGCCGACGACAACGGCGCCAATGTTCGGCTCCAGCTTTAAATGCTTCGACATAAATTCGCCCAGATTGCCCTGCATAACATCCGGTCCTGTGCTGGTGTGATCTATGCCAACCGCGTCCAATTCCTGTGTAATGCCCTCGGAGCCAATCACATAGACCCGTTTACTAAAGTGACGCCTCTGCAGATAGGCGGCCGTTGCATGGGCAGTCGATATAATACTGTCCTCGGTGATGTGGAAACCCAGATCCACACCTTTTGCCAAGAGTTCGCCGCGAGTTTTTGTCGAATTGTTTGTGCAAAAGTAAATGCTTTTGCCCAATTTCTTCAATTGGTTCATTGTATTCACGGAGCCGGCAATCGGCTTTCCATATACCCATAGAACACCTGCATAATGCAATTAAATCAAGACATTTTCATTAACAAATTAAATTAATTGATCGGTTATTAAGATTATTAACACTTTAAAAATAAGATGCACCTATATATAAATTCATAACGCATTGTGACATATTCATTTATAAATGGAGTTAATTGTGGATATTATCGATTAACTTTATAAAACTTAAGTGTCCTATAAAAAGCACAAAACACTAAAATCAAATGTACGCATATATATTTAAATAAACACATCAGCTTATAATACATACTTAAATATTCATTATCAAATGAAATTAATTGTAGATATTATCGATTATTAGCTATATAAACTTTAAGCTGATAACAAGTTTTAATAGTAAAATTGATTTCAGTTTTCATCAATTACAGCGGATGCGAAATGTCGAGCTTGCCGCCCCCCTTTGGTATTGCATTGTGACATTGAAATTTGCGCGGCCACACACATACACACACACACATGCTGCATATTAATTATGACTGTCACTATTCACTTACATCAAACTTACAATAAGAAAAAATATGTGCATTTCAAATAATATTATTAATTTTTAATTTATTTTTTCTTATTGTAAGTTTGATCTAAGTTATGGATATATACATATATATATATATATTGACGTAGTAGCTTTTTTTTAAAGGTAAGTTCACAAACTCACCATCGCAATCAGATATAACGGAATCGAAACTATTTAGCCAATCGTTGACCTCTACTCGTGAAAGGTCTAGCAAGTTGGTGCACGTCTGTTTATACATTCTGTATTTTATTGCTATATTCGTTGCAGGGTCGTTCAAAATGAGCCGCTCCAATGTCAATTTATTACTGCAGGCTATCAATTAATTACAACATTTCATTCACTCCTAATTTATATATGCACATCCATTGAGGGATGCCCTATCGACAGTCTGGCAGCACCGCGTCGAATCAGCTGGTAGTATGCGAAATCAGCTGGTAGTATGCGAAATCAGCTGGTCAATTTTTGACAACTGTTGGATCAACTGTCAACTGTCAGTTGCGCGCAATTCGAACGTTTATATTTGAAAATGAATTAAAATCTTATAAACATTACACTTTAATGCCGTTTATTATTACTGAATTTGGCGCTTACATATACAATTACTTATAGTACAGGTTTTTGTTTTGTTGAATCTCAGCTTTCTTTCATTTCCTTATTTTTTTTTTTAATTTTTACAAACATGCTGGAAGAACAAATCATTGCAAACGAGGTAAAATACTGTAACTACATCAAATAATAATTTGGATGATTAAAAGTTTAAACTACCAGCGAGTAAAGTATGATAAAGGATGATATTGTTGCGGTTCTTGGGATGAAGGGGAACTATTAAATTGGAATCTAGCGAGAAAATTTTGTTTTTGCATTTGTACCATAATTTGCATTTAAAATAAATCTCATTAAGCTAGCAAATGTAAAACGAACGAAAAGTTTGCTAATTACAATATAAACTATTTTACAGTAATCATAATTATAAATTAAGAACTAGATACGAAACTTTATCGAGAAATTGCAGTTAGTGTGCAGATTTTTTTTTAAACACACCTGTGTGTCTCTGTGTGTGTGTGGGTTATATATCTGAGTGTGTGTGTGCGGTGAGAGAGGTAATGAGCCAAGTATATTAACTAATGGATTTCGGCTAAAAGTGTGACATTAGCAAGCTGCCTGGACCGCCACCGCCAGCGCTCCCTCCAGCACCGCCACCGCCGCCACTGGTGCCCAGCACCGAGCCCAGGAGAGCTCCACTTGGCATCTGTTGCTGCTGATGCTGCATGGGCAGCTGTTGCTGCATTTGCAGTGATGTCGGAAAACTGTTGAGGCCCATACCGCCGGGATTAAGGCCTACGCCGACGCCAACGCCGCCAGTGGCCATGGGATTGGACAGGCCAGCGGTTGCGCCCATAACGGGACCACCCATGCCGGCGGCAACAGCCCCACCTCCTCCTCCTCCGCTGGGCAGGCCAATGCCCAGCGCGGCGCCTGGCTCGGGGCTTTGATTCTTCTTTTTGCGTTTCTTCTCCTTTTTGCGCTTCTTACGCTCCTTGTCATCTTCGTGACGCTTCTGTTTCTTGTGCTTCTTCTCGTACGTCTCCAGGCCAGCGGAATCTGAAGAAGCACATGATGCAATATGAATTTATATGGATTAAAGTCAGGTGACTTACCCAGCAGCGTTGATTCGGGGCCACCCGTCGTGATGCCGTCTTTGTGTTTGTGCTTTTTGTGCTTGTTTTTGTGTTTACGCGCAGGTGTTGCATATGTGGTGCGATACTGTTCGGGCAGCTGCAAAACAAACCGAAATGTTGAGCATGAAAATGAGCATAGCACACATGGACGATCATACTCACCGGTCCCGGATGCAAACGGAAGCCGGCCAACTGCACGGCAGTCAGCGGGAGCAGCTCCTTGCCACCAATCGGGGGCTTCTCGATGACGCTGCGCAATGTGCTGTTCTCGACGGGATGCGTGATGAGGTCATTGATGCCGGGTATATTGAGTAGAAATGATGCCAAAGATTCCTTGAATTTTTTCTCCTTGAATTTAGTCAGTGTGTGATGCAGTCCATATTCGGTCATGAGATCCTTGTCGCCCGTCAGCTCTGCTTTTGCCGGTGGCTCCTTCATCGAGTAGAATGGACCCGTATGTATTATTGTCGGCGTCTTACCCAGCGATATTGTGGTCTTCAGCGTACCCGACGAATCCTGGCGTGCCACAACCGGCGAGCGACCGCCGTGGGGCGAGGATCTTGGCGAATCCATCATTATATTCCCGTAATTGTTCATCATTTTCAGGCAGGTGCAAGGGGGCAGGTGGGACGCGACACAGGCGCTGCTGGGATCAGTCAGTCAACCAGTCCGTCCGTCAATCACACACACACACAGCAGCAGCAACAACAACAACAAGAAAGCAGCAACAGCTACAACAACAACAACAAGGCCAGACGTTGCAGCAACTTTCGCAACTCGCTTGCAGATGCTGCTGCCGCATACACAAAACGCGAGCAATACGCGCTCAGTTTGTTGTGCGGCCGCCCAAAACACTTTGATGTAGGTTTTAGCAATTAATTTGCACGTTTATTGCGTTTTTAATGGTGTTCAATTTGCAGACGAGACTCTCGCCATCTTGTTGTGTTCGCGTACAAGTGTGCACAGCTAGACACAAACTAAAAAATGCCGTGCAAGTAATAGGGCTTAATACCATAAAAATACTGAAAATGACTGGCGCGATTTATCATGTAGTCGGCGTGTAATCGATGCGCATCGATAAATTGGCCCGTCATCATCTGCAGTTTGCCGTGTTCTAGCCGTAGGCGCACCGTATAATTTGTATTGGAACGTTGAAATTCACGTCAGTCTGGTGTTTTTTTATTGGCCTTAAAGTGAACGTATATTACCAATTGACCAGCGATGCAGTCGACATTACGCAGAACAGTGACAGCTGTAGCCAAGGTACAAAGGCAATCAAAATAAAATTCACTTCTCATTTTTGGGGGGGTTATGCAATTCTAACCTAAATAGGTCATAACTTTGCCATTAAATGCAATCGTGTTGTCCAAAATTGTTTGTGTATGTGTGTAAATGTCAAGGCCATTGATTAGACCACTTAACAGCTGATGCGACTGAATTAGGCTAAATGAACAAGCAAAACTGTTAATTGCCACCGATTAACATAAACAAATCAGAAATAAAAATAACCTAGTGTGACCAAAGTCAACTACAATAGAAATCATTATTTCTCTCCTGTAGTCGCAGCTGCGAAGCAATGCTGCAATCTTGGGTGCATTAAATACCCGCTGCTATTCTAGCACACACGAAGCGGATGTTGTGGTGATTGGCTCCGGACCTGGTGGCTATGTGGCTGCCATTAAAGCGGCCCAAATGGGCATGAAGGCCATCAGTGTGGAGAAGGAGGCAACGCTGGGCGGCACCTGTCTCAATGTCGGCTGCATTCCATCGAAGGCGCTGCTCAATAACTCACATTATTATCACATGGCGCACTCTGGGGATTTGGCTGCACGTGGTATCAACTGTGGCAGTGTCTCGCTCGATCTGGAGAAGCTGATGGGACAGAAGACGACAGCGGTAAAGGCTCTGACTGGCGGCATTGCGATGCTCTTCAAGAAGAACAAAGTCACACAGCTGACGGGCTTCGGCAGCATCGTTGGGCCCAACGAGGTGCAGGTGAAGAAGGATGATGGCTCCACCGAAACGATTAAGGCCAAGAACATAGTGATTGCCACCGGCTCGGAGGTTACCCCCTTCCCAGGCATTACGGTAAGTGAATAGAATCCCTAATGGACTCAGTAATCAGACTTAATCTCCTTTGTAGATCGACGAGGAGGTCATTGTGAGCAGCACAGGTGCCCTGAAGCTGGCCCAAGTGCCCAAGCAGATGGTTGTCATTGGTGCTGGTGTCATTGGCTTGGAACTGGGTTCGGTTTGGTCACGTTTGGGCGCCGAGGTGACTGCTGTGGAGTTCATGGACACCATTGGTGGCGTTGGCATCGACAACGAGGTCTCCAAGAGCTTCCAAAAGATTCTCGCCAAGCAGGGACTCAAATTCAAGCTGGGCACCAAAGTGATGGCGGCGACACGCAACGGCGACAGCGTCACCGTCTCCGTGGAGAATGCCAAATCTGGTGAAAAGGAGGAGCTGCAATGTGATGCACTCTTGGTTAGTGTGGGACGACGCCCGTACACCGAGGGTCTTGGCCTGGAGTCGGTGGGCATTGTGAAGGATGATCGTGGCCGGATTCCGGTCAATGCCACGTTCCAAACAGTAGTGCCGAGTATTTATGCCATTGGCGATTGCATCCATGGACCAATGTTGGCGCACAAGGCCGAGGATGAGGGTCTGATTACCATCGAGGGCATCAACGGTGGCCACGTGCACATCGATTACAATTGTGTGCCCAGCGTGGTCTACACGCACCCCGAGGTCGCGTGGGTGGGCAAAACGGAGGAGGTCCTTAAGCAGGAAGGCGTCGCCTACAAGATGGGCAAGTTCCCCTTTTTGGCCAATTCGCGTGCCAAGACGAACAACGACACGGATGGCTTCGTCAAAGTGCTTGCCGACCAGGCCACGGATCGTGTCCTGGGCACCCATATCATTGGCCCGGCTGCCGGCGAACTCATCAACGAGGCTGTTCTGGCCATGGAATACGGCGCCTCGGCGGAGGATATCGCCCGTGTCTGTCATGCGCATCCGGTAAGTTTCTAAAAATTATTCTGCTCCGCACACATGCTAATCTCTTGTGATCTTGTGACCCCTTGCAGACCTGTGCCGAAGCTTTGCGCGAGGCCAACGTGGCGGCCGCATTTGGAAAACCAATAAATTTTTAGAGAGAACGCCTTCTGCTGGACAATTCGATATACTAGCGTCAACACTTTGTTTGAAATTCTCAATGTGCAACTGTAACGAAACATCTCCGATCAATATATAAATTGCAAAATACTGCAATATATTTGATTAACTGTTTAAATAAGTTTTAGAAATAAAAAAGAATCGCGTTTAGAAAGTTTGGCGCCTTTTATTTCTACCTATCGATGAGTATCGTGCGATGTGCGATTGTCGACTATCATCGATATATGCGATATGTGTCGTATGCGTATGGTCACATCTAAAAGCATATGTTTCACTTTTGAAGATTTGTTGTCAAAATCAAACATCAAACTTGTTTCGGTTTTGTTTGTTTAATGTTAATCGTTATTTTTCCGAATTTTGAATAAATCCCCGAATCAGACGAAGTACAAAATTAATAGCACTTGCAATGTTTCGCGTTGGCAAATTCACATACAATCGCGGCGAACGCCTGCCGCAAATCACTCAACAATTATTCCTGGCCAACCGGCAATTGTACGACACTTTGACCAGGGGACGAGCGTCGGCATCGCCAACGGCACAGCTGCAATCGGCTGCTGGCAAACCACCACAGAAGAAGTCCAACACCAGCGACCAGCAGGACAAGAACTCTCTGGTGAGTGTTGCCTCTTATGATGTAACAAAATCCAATTGGCTTTCCCCCTCTCTCTCTTTATATATATAAATACTCTCTCTCTCTCTCTCTTTCTCTCTCTCTGTCTATGTGCAGCATAATCAACGCTGGTCACGAAAAATCTTTAGCGGCATTCAGCCAACTGGCTCCTTGCACTTGGGCAACTATTTGGGCGCGGTGCGCAAATGGACACATCTGCAAAAGGCACGCGAAAATGTGACGCTCTGCATCGTGGACATGCACTCGATAACCATGCCCCACAATCCGCCCATGCTGCGCGAGAACATCTTTATGATGGCAGCCACGCTGCTCGCCTGTGGTGTTGATCCTGCGCAGAGCACACTCTTCGTGCAGTCGGGCGTGATGGAGCACGCGGAGCTCAACTGGATACTCAGCTCGCTGACGACGATGCCGCGTCTGGCGCAGTTGCCCCAATTCAAGGAGAAGTCGCGCAGGGTGAAGGATGTCCCGCTCGGCTTGTATGTGTATCCAGTGCTGCAGGCTGCCGACATAATGCTGTACAAGTAAGTGCTTAGGATGAGTGGTAGACATTAGAGTATAAAGTATAAATATGATTAGGATTATGGCTAGAAAATGATTTTGAACAACAATTTTGTTTGTTAAAAATGCTGTTAAAAAATCATTTTCTACAATTTATTTAATTATTAATTTTAAGAATGTCTTAAAAACCCATCAAAATTATTCATTTTGATAAAGCTACAAAATTGGTATTCATAAATTTTTTTTATAAAAAGTCTTTGTATATAAAAAAGTTGATCTCAAATCGAATTCAAGCTGCAATTTTCAAAGACGGAAAAAATAAAGAAATTGCTGAAAATTTTTGATTAATTTTCCAGTTCAGGTGTACAAATGTCTTTTAGCCAGTTAAAGTTAAATTATTTAATTATAAAAATAATTTTATTGTTTTATATGTATTATTTTTATGATTATTAATGTTTGTATTTTGTGTAAGAAACGTTTAGGAAACCAATATTGAAAGATTTATTTTTTTACTGATACTGATACAAAATTTGGTTACATTTCGTTAGCTATAAAAAATTGTACAGATTTAAATGTTAGCTTATTGGTCAACTAGATTTTGTCACACTGTGCAGCCTGCAGTTGTAGTTATTTTATTGTAATTCCCTCCTCACTTCTCCGCAGAGCCACCCATGTGCCGGTTGGAGCGGATCAGCTGCAGCATATACAATTAGCCCAGCATTTGATTCGAGCCTTTAACACACGCTATGGCGAAATGTTCCCGGAGTGCAGTCCCATGATTGAGGAGAACGATGCATCTCGGGTGCTGTCGTTGCGTGAGCCATCCAAGAAGATGTCCAAATCGGACCAGGATCCACGTGGCACCATCAATCTGAGCGATTCGCCCGAGCTAATCCGGGAGAAGATCAAGAAGGCCGTCACCGACTTCACATCGGACATCACATACAGCCCGAGCATGCGTCCTGGTGTCAGTAATCTGGTCAACATTCATTCCCATGTCACGGATGAGAGCATCGCCACTGTGGTGGAGGAGGCCAAGCTGCTGGACACGGCCAAGTATAAGGAGCGAGTCGCCGACGCTGTCATTGAGCATTTGCGTCCCATACGCGAAAAGATCAACATGCACCTGGCCAACGAGAGGGAGCTGTGCTACGTGCTGGAGATGGGCGCAGAGAAAGCACGGAAGGTGGCCCAGCACACGATGAGCGAGGTGAAACAGCGTCTGGGACTGGGCATCAGTGGCCCGCTGCCGGCCAGCGTCTCTGTCGCACCTCTGCTGCCCGATCATGCCAAGCTGACGGCCAGCCAACGTCTGGCCAAGGGTGTACTCCATCCGGATGCCAATTCGCACAGTCTGCCGCACTTTGAGCAGCGCTGTGAACCGGGCCACGGCACGCTCGCCTCACTCGTTGGCGGCAATGCGGGTCAATCAGTCACCGGAGGAGGAGGAAATTTCTCTCCCAACCAGACGCTACACCGAACTGTGCCCGTGCAGACGATGCGCGTGGAGAAGTCCAAGAATTTAATGCCGTCGCGGCACATCTTCAAAATGGACCAATTCAATGTACCGAAAATGGCATTCCGGGATCCGGGCGTGGTATACGCCGGTAAACGACCCGATCAGCGAGAACGACGAACTGCTGTCCTTGGTTTCTCGGCCGCGGAATATTTGGCTACGGATAATAGCAGCCGCTTGGCGGGTGCCTCGTATGCGGGCAATGCAAATCACAGTGCTTTGGCTGCCGTCACCAGCCAGGTGAATGCGGCCGTCAAGGACCAGGAGAGGTTCAGCAGCCTGGCGAACAGTGCCTTTTATAAAACTGCTGCTAGCTCCTTCAACAACACCAATCCCAGTGTCGTCAATGTCGCCGCCAGCACCATGCAAAATCACTGCAACAATAGCACTAGCACCAGCACCACTTCCACCTTCAGCTCCTCCGCCGACTCCAGCGAGACCAGCAAACCCAAATCCTCCACAATTTTTGTGGATGAGGCGGAAAATGAGAGCGAGGAGCGTGAGGAAGACGAAGAGAACTACGCTGGCGATGCGCCCGATAGCAAAATAGAGAAATTAAATTAGCTCAATGTGATTAACGTCTGCAATTGTTTTTAGTATAGTCTAATATACATATATATATTCTCAAATCGCTTGTTAAACCCATTATAATGAAACGTACGAATCTGACTTGCTTGAATTGAGCGCCAATTGTATTTTGTCTACTACATATCGATTACTCAAATCAATAGCAATGTTTAGTATTTATTATTTTACATCGGCTTATCGGCTGTATCGATTAGTCGAGGATTTTGCTGCTTGTCAGCTCCGGTCACACTGCACAGGCCGCTTAGTATTTTCGTAGTATATTCTGTGCGGTTCGGACGTACGCGCGGGAATTTCGTAGTTGCGTCTCGTTTTGTTCGCCTGTGTGTTTGCCTATGTGTGTGTTGTGTTTGTGTAACAACAAAAAAATAAATCACGAGCTAATAGTATGCAAATGCGTTGCCAGCGTTACGCACGCGTACGAATACAAAAGCCAAGTGTATGAAAAAAAACCGCAAAGTGTAACAATATATCAACAGCAACGCCCGCGCTCAACGAGTGAAAGTGCAACAGACAAAAAAATAATAAAAACTTAAAAATCGGCTCAACTTTTTGGCCAACTCACGCAGCTTGTACGTTTCGGCCTTGGCTTCACAATATTTAATCATATCAAAATTGAAAACGCGGAAATTATCTAAAAATACCACAAATTAATTTAATAAAAATAATAATAATAAACAAACATAAAAAAAAAAATATAATTGCTCAACTACCTGTTCTTCAAAGTTCGTCGGACGCAGCAGCAGCCAAAGCAGCAGCAGATCAAGAAGAGGTGCGCAACACAACAAGAAAACTAACTGTTGCGTCTGCATGTGTGCGTATGTGTGTGCAAATGCATATGCGTATGTGTGTGTGTGTGCGTGCGTAAAGTGCATACTCTGTTCTAAAATACATTTGATTGTGCTATGCTCAACGGTTATTTTGCTACATAGTTAAATATTGCGCCCAACGCGTTTTAACAGGTGCGCATTTTGTCTTTTGTTTGCGCTTTAACTGTTTTATAACAGCAGCTGCCCACGTCTGTTGTTCTATTTAGGCTTGCTTATTGGTTTAGATCTCATTTGCCAGCATTTAAGAGTTTGGCATGCGTTCCGCTGTTAAAAGTTTAACATGCGTCGCGTTGTCAAACTTTTTATTTGGCAATGCAAAAGAGAAGGAAAACTTTAAAAAAAGGACCCATTTTTTATTTATACAATACTGTAGAAAAAAGAAATCTATAAAAAAATTTAAAAAAAACACAGCAAATATTATAATTTTATTATACGTATTAAATGTTTTACCATTAACATTAAAGATTACAATATTGGAAAAAAAGAGATCAAGCAAGTTAAAAAAACGCAGCTTAAATTAATTTGTATTTAATGTTCCACTATTAATAATAACAATATTATTAAATTACCAGGCATTTATAATTTATTACTTATCGTTTTGGTTTTTTCCTCCGTTTATTTGACACGCAAAGCGCTCACCGTTATTGATTCTCAAACTGTAAGCGGTTGGGGCTGCATTGGTTGTCTAAGCATTTGATTTCGTCGTCGTCGCACTTAGCTAAATGACTTGTTTTAGTTTCAGTTGTGTCTGAGATAGTTGTAACATTTGCACAAATGTGAAATTCGCATTTGTAGTTATTTTTTTGTTTTGTGTTTGCCATTTTATTACCGGTGTTGTATTTTTTTGTTGTTGCTGTTATTTAAGCCATGTTGTGCCAGTTGGCGCCATCGCTCCACGTTTTTTTTATTTGGTTTATTGTTTTCTTTGGTTTGGTTTGGTTAGGTTTTTATTTTTATTTTTTGCCGTTTCCCGTTTGGTGTGCTTTTCACGCTGAGGAAGAAGTTTCGTTTTCCTCGATACCCTGTATAAAGGGTATAATAGAGTTGAGCTATCGCTAAATATTTGGTCGCCCAACTTTGCTTTGTGTCTGTTTTAAACGATGGAAGAAGAGAAAACGAAACAAAAAATCATAAATTGATTGAAGCTGAAAATCTATATCTGTCGCTTTTCTTTGCCCTCTGTAACGGTAATAAGAAGTTCTCTCTGCGCTAATAAATTAGAAACCATGAAATAAAGTCATTTTGTTAGCTTAAAAATTCACTCTCAATTATTATTGAGTTTTAATGAGTTCTTTACAGATGGTAACGATCTGTTCAATCATCAATCAATTGACGAAATGAAAACTCTGAAAACAAATTTCTTTTTTAGTTTGGGCACATTTAAAATGTGCGCTGCTGCTGTGCACAAAACAGCTGTTAACAATAAATGACTTTGTCATCATTTAGCAAATTGACGCTAAATTCATGGTGAATTTTTCGTTTGGTATTCATGAATTAAGCCAAATTTGTGAAAATGTTGCAAATTAAGCAAAAATGTGTGTATTTTATTTTTGCTAAACGTTTACAATTAAATTACCTTAAAGTTGAGTCATTAAATACGAGCATTTAAAATGCTGAGCAAAACTTTTGGTTTCTCGAAGTTTTATCTTGGAATTTGCCAAAATGTGGGTCTAAATACAGAGTATCTCTCAGTCGATCAGTTTTGCCTGAGTTGATGTTGCTTTTAATTAATTTGATGTAATTGCAACTAAGCCAACAGGCAACAAATTCTGTTAGGGGAGCCGGTGCCAGTGGGAAAAACGGTGCTTAGAATGAGATCAGCACTGAGAGGAATAGTTTCCTTCTTGGCACAAGTACTTCCTGCTATGTGTGTCTGCTGTTTTAAGTACAGCTGTGATCACCTGCCCAGCAGCAGGAAGTAGATGAGGCAAACAGGACATTGAGACACTTGAGGCAGGGGCTGTGGCAGTGTTTTTTTTTTGGTAATGCGAAACCCACTCGAAAGATGCAGCAGCAGCTGCACTTATCTATAAATTCTGCTTTTTTTCTGCTTAGTTTACTTTGCATTACGTCACACGTTGCGTAGTTTGTTTCCTCTTCTGCTTCTGCGTTCATTATGCATTGTAACATGATAGTTTTTTTTTTACGTTTCCCTCAAGTCCATTTGGCCCCTATTAACATTGCTTGGCGCTCTAAAATTACAGTTGCCACTCCCCCAACTATCCCACCCCCTCCCCCTCCTCCTCTCATTTTGCATTTTCTTGCTAGTTTTGAGTGTCTAACGGTTCTGCTTTGCAGTGCACTTTGCATATTGTACTGCCCAAAAGTGTTCAATGTTGTTTTTTGTTTTTTTTTTTGTTGCCAGGCCTTGGCACAGTTATGCGGCTTGGCCACCTCTTTGTACATGTTGTTGTTGTTTACCTTTTCTTCTTTTGTTTTGTGTTAACTTGTTGTTTGTCTTATGACTTATGGCTTTTGGCGAGTTGTTCTGCATTTGCAGTTTAGCGTTTCTTTAAGCTTGACCTGCTGTCAGTTTCCAGCCCGTATCAAGCTAACCATTTGCAAAGGCAACAAAGACCGCTTAACTCTCGAGGGTGTCGTATATTTAAAAATAAAGAAACCAGGAGACATATATATATATATATACGTCAGAAATATATATATTTGTGAGTCACACCGTGATGTTTATATACGAGACATAGCTGATATATACACATGTTATGCAGTAGATCGCTGTTGTTAACTTTTTTTTTTAAAGGTTGAAGAATAATAAGGCTCATGTTGATTTTTGGTCAAAATATATATTCCTGGGGGTGGTCGACAAAACACGTTTGGAACACGTTTCTAGTCATCTACCATTCAAGCTTGGCTTTATCGATTTGCAATTATTGAATTAATATATTTCCTAGCAAACGCAATGCCGCAATTTGAACACCTTGTTCAGTGTTATATTTTAGTATTTTATATATTTTTTATAATACTTATATTATTTTATATTTTTTGTTTTAATAAATAACCTTGCTTATAGATAATTACATTTAAAAAAAGCCCCTTTTCTAATTCAATACACATTACCTCTTAATTACTTAATTGTATTCCTTACAAAGATATCTACATCTATTTATAACTTTTTATTGTATCTTGCTTATGCAAAAGTTTAACAAATGCATTAATTAAAAACGAAAATAAAGAAAGAGAGAAAAAATCAGCTGAAATTATAATTACACATTCTGCCGCATTTGAACTTCAAATCACAGCGATTCAAGGCAAACGAGTCGAAAAGACTTTTTTATTGTGTTTATTTTTTTCAGCTTGTTTATAAACCAGGCAAAGCGAGAACTCGTGCCAGTTGTTGTTGTTATTGTCGTTGCCAAAAAATAAAAATAACAAAACAACAAAATAAAATAAAGTAAAATGCCCCGCCGAGAAAAAGCGTGTCAATAGCAGCAACAAAAACTGTGTAAGCCTTAAAAGCTCAAAAAGGCAATAAACAAAAGATAACGAAAGACAAGAGAAGCCAGAAGACTGAAGACTGAAGACAGAAGACAGCATTAGAAGTTGGCCATAAACAGCATAGACAGACAGACGATGACATCTTCAATTGACTTGAAGTTGGCTGGCAATCCACTTGGAAATGGAAAAATGCAGTCAACGCCAAAGTGGGTCAAATGCATGCACCACCTGCGCACCACCCAGTTCAATGCACCAGCAATGTAAATGGTCTGGGAAATTGGGAATTGGAGTTGCTAATGACTGGTGCTGCACATGTTAAGTAATTAGTCAGGGCAGCGCAGGAGAAACCAACCCAGAAATGAGCATGTCTAATGTCAACTCGGCTATTTCAGACACGCCGCTCGACAAAGTCAGTTTTCAGTTCTTTTCGAAAAGACACCTAAATAAATAATTACGGTGACTGCCGTGCAAACACAACACATGAAAAATAGGTGTCTTAGACGTACCGAATATTAGATACCCTTGCAACACTATAAAAAATTTCTAAATATAAAAAGATATTCTTTAAATGAAAAAAGTTTTTTTTCTGTCGTCTTTTAGAAATGTATTCTATTAGAAAGAAATAAATCACGAAACAAATGAAAACCCTTGCTTACAAGAAATAGTGTCAAAAATGCAGAAAGATTAATCAAATTTGCTCTCTCGACTGCTATGTTAGATTAGTATTAAATTAGACACTGAAATAACTTTGTAAACTGTCC